GTAGGCCCAGGAGGCCTTTATATACGACAGTTTTTATTGAAGTTCAAGATAATATTCCGCAACCGCGTCATATGTACATTAGTGATAATATACGAATATTTATAATGTTCAGCTCATTAGGGAATTCTTGCCACCGTTTCGACGCCTGGAAGGCAGTTTGGCAACTGCATTTGGCAACTGCTCTTTTTTTTACTTTCCACTGTTTTCAGGAAAATGCTTCTGCTCACTTCCTGTTTTAAATTTCCCTCTGTCGTCTTTAGCTACGTAAGTGGATTCTCTTACGACGCCACTAGACGGCAAACAACACATTTTTTTATTAAAATAAAAAATAAATATAATCAATAACCCGTCAAAACTGTCGAGACCGGATATACCGTCATCGCTCAGAACAAAGAATTATAGACTAATAGGTATATATAGGTTCCACACGAGATCCCATATAAACACAAACAAAAATTAGATATTTTTATTTGCAAATTAGTATATTTAAACACAAACCGATATAAATTACGTTAATATTATTAAGTGGTACCTATGTAATTGTTTACGTGGCATAGCCATGCTGCAGTTGTATTAGTAGTATAGTTGTAGCACGAATGAGTCGGCTCGACCGGGGAAGGACCGCGCTCTCATAGAATACCAACGTCAAATAGTAGCTTAATGCTGCTGTATTTCGTATGGTGAGTGTAGAGAACCGGAGACCCTTTTCACTGGAAACGAGGCATTCCACCTAAGTCGGATGACAACGCATCTGCATTTTGATTCGTAATCGAGGATAGATGTAGATGTCTATGGGCCACAGAAACCACTTACCATCAGGTGGGCTGTGTGCTCGTTTGTCATCCTATCCTATAAAAAAACTTTAATAATTGTAACTATGTAGTATTATGCATAATATTAGATAGTTGCAATCCTTACATTGTCCCTTCGGTGTCGGTACTGCCTCATGACGCTAGGCTGTATAAATTAAGGTCATTTGTATGAGATAAAAGATGTCGTCGAAAACAAAGGGGAGCAAAGAGTATTAACAGGGTGATGGGATTGCCTATCGGCTTATTTGTAAGCTCGCTTGAATGACAGGTATTAAGAATAAAACGATTTTCAACAAAATACAGAAATTCTCCAAATTTGTTTTATTACACTTAAACATATTTGTTTGTATTTTCTGTATACATTTGTTGTCCTATAGCTTAGAAGTTACATTGTATACTAACATCCATATTAAATAGTAATACTCTCGTAATTATAATTACATACATCAAACCCACGTACAGCCTGTTAAACTTATAGGTACTAAAATATACAGTGTTAAGTAACCCATAGACACGCCTTATGCCAATGCAAATTATAAAATTAATATTTAGAACTAGAAGTATTGGCCTTTAGTGAGGGAATCTTTTGCTCTTGTCAAGCACTGCTTGATTATAATACCACCTGGTAGTAAATATAGCCTTAGATGGTAACTTGCAATGTCTTAGTGTAACAAAATTCTATTCACTCTTTACGATACCCAATTTGTTATCGGACGAAAAGAAAGATGCCAGAAAATTATTTTACTCCTTCGCTGCTTAGATTATTCACTCTCGGAGTAAAGAGAGTAAATAATCTAAACTACTTTTTGCATGACGAAAGACCAGACAAACTGTTGGGTTCCAACGCGAGGAATATCGACAACAAATGGGCGGAGAACCGCCGACCGTCTGGTTGTCCGTTAAAAAAATTAATTTTAATGAAAAAAAATTAATTTGCAAATTGTATGTGGTTTTATTTCCTCTAACTCACACGAGTGTCGGTAATGCGAGGTCTTTGACAATCCTCTAACTCCTCGGCTAATGCAGAGATAATATAACCACATACAATTTGCAAATATTTTTTCATTATAATAATTTTTTTAAATGTGTTTTTTTAATTGTTTATACATGCTTGGATACTGACTCTGATATCGCAGTTAACGGGAACCACAGGGTTTTTGTTACATGTTGTATAGGATAGGGTAACAAACTTCAGGTGTACTGTGTGCAAGACACAGTACACCTGATGGTTTGCCACGGTAAGTGCTCAGAGTTGTTCGGATTAATTTCAGCTGCCAAATTCCACCAACGGTGATCACGACTAAACTCACGATACCATCCACAACATCTGGATTGTTATATGATATGTTGATGTTGATAGTTGGTCGTGGTGGTGAAACTCCGCTCCCGCTCAGAAACGTCTAACTACCGGCCTATCGCCATCACCTCCTTGTTCTCCAAAACAATGGAGTCTATTGTAAACTGCCAGCTCATGAGGTACCTTGAGGATCACCAGCTGATAAGTGACCGCCAATACGGTTTTCGCCGTGGTCGGTCAGCTGGTGATCTTCTGGTCTACCTAACTCATAGATGGGCGGAGGCAGTAGAGTCCAAGGGGGAGGCATTGGCCGTTAGTTTGGACATTGCGAAGGCCTTCGATCGGGTTTGGCACAAAGCACTTCTTTCGAAGCTCCCTTCCTATGGGCTTCCCGAGAAATTTAAGATTGGATCACCAGCTTTCTTGCAGATCGGAGCATCAAGGTCGTTGTAGACGGTGCAAGCTCCGATTGCAAGCCTATTAATGCTGGTGTTCCACAAGGCTGCGTGCTATCGCCAACGATGTTTCTTCTGCATATCAATGATATGTTGCAAACCTGTAACATTCATTGCTATGCAGATGACAGCACTGGTGATGCTCTTTACACCGGCCGAGCCAATATTTCTCGGGAAAACGTCTCCGAGTGCCGGGACAAACTTGTGTCTGAAGTCGAGTCTTTGCTGAACAGAGTCTCGGATTGGGAGCGACTAAATCTAGTCCAGTTTAACCCCCAGAAGACACAAGTTTGCGCGTTAACCGCTAAAAAGAACCCCTTTGTCGTATCTCCTCAGTTTCAAGGCACTCCCCTTGTTGCCTCAGCCAGTATCGAATCCTCGGCGTTGACATATCGAGTGACGTGCAGTTTCGTGGTCACTTGGAAGAGAAGGCCAAATTGGCCTCTAAAAAGCTTGGCTTGCTCAGCAGAGCGGGACAGTATTTCATGCCGGCACACCGCCTGCGACTTTACAAGGCGCAGGTTCGGCCGCACGTGGAATACTGTTCCCATCTCTGGGCTGGGGCTCCCCAGTACCAGCTCCTTCCACTTGACCGCATCCAGCGCAGAGCGGCTCGAATCGTCGACGACCGAGTGCTTTCCGATCGGCTCGATTCACTGGCACTGCGAAGAGATGTTGCATCTCTTTGCATTTTATTTCGCATATACTATGGAGAGTGCTCTGAGGAATTGTTCGGATTAATCCCAGCCACCAAATTTCGTGAACGCACTACGCGGCAAACGTCCCGATACCATCCACACCATCTGGATGCTTGGCGGTCCACCACAGTACGTTTCAAAAGGAGTTTTCTTCCGCGTACAACCTCTCTGTGGAATAGTTTACCACCGGCGATTTTTCCGGACCGATACGACCTGGGGACCTTCAAGAAAAGAGCTTACTCCTTTCTAAAGGGCCGGCAACGCACCTGCAATTCCCCTGGTGTTGCGATTGATCATGGGCGGCGGTAGTCACTTAACATCAGGTGAGCCGCATGCTCTTCTATAAAAAAAAATAACCACAGCGAAAAATAATAAGTAACCATGGGCCATAATATGTCTTTCTATAGATATTCAAAGTTGAATAAACAATATATATCTGATAAGGTCAGTCAGGATAAGGCCTGATAAATGTTAAGAGCATTACTTACGAACAATACAATACGATTCAACTAAGAAACAAAAACATCAATGACCTCGATCTGTCCTCTCACTTGTATTAGGTAAACAAGAAGATCACCTACTGAGCAATCCAATTTTTTTTTTATTTCTTTGAACTGACTACGGCTCTGGGTTCTAGCCCTTATCATTTCTTTCGTAATCTTCGTTTTTGTATATTTATTTTCACAATACGCTGATGCATCACATTGCGGAGTTTTTGGAAGATTTTGACGACAGCTTAACCCTGCGGACAGTTGATGACGACAGCCACTCAAGTTCATAAGGCGTCCAAGCGATCAAAATTACTTGTGGTTTATATCAAGATCAAAGCACTTGTTTCGTCGTTTTCTCTAATAGTTCACAAGCGCAGATACTTAATTCACAAAATCGCATCACTTTTACGAATCAAAATACACTTATTCAAACCATTATTCAAGCGACAAAATAGGAGTGACAATCGTCGACAGCCAAGTTCCCGCCAAAACTCTCTACTGAGCGACTTTGACGGAAAGTGATGCAAAGATAAGCAGAATCAAAGACCTAGATTTAGAATAAAACTTTTTCGTTCATGATTCTTTTGTATCTATTTTTAAATAAAATAATACATTATACTATATTATTTTAAAAATATATGTTTTGCTGACCCTAATTAACTGGTATGAATTGACAGAAAAGACGTCACAATATGACGCAAGATCATTCTTATTTGAATAGCATTGTACATAGTCTAATAATTAAGCGTACTGACCGTAAACTTATAAGTGAACCAATCTTAAAACAAACAGTTTAATCTTACTAGGAGGGGTTAACGAGAATATTAGTTATATTAATAGCACTACAAGTATTTTATTTACAAGAAATGTCTCTGTCAATAATCGGAGAAATTAAAAATCATATCTTCTTTATCAGTATTAAAAATATTATCAAGAAAACCAAAAACAATTACTTAACATAGACGTTCCATTCTCTCAATGTTATCTGTTTATATAGATAAGACAAACACTTCCAATATCAGAAATTACTACTGTCCGATATGGACATACGTATAGACCTAGTATATTTTACCACAAAATTTTGCACTTTATAATATAATTATTTTAACATAGAATGTTCCACGTACACTTCAAAACAGTGTTGCCAACATCCCGGAACCAAGAAATATGTAGATAATGACGCCTGTTTATGGTTCGTGGTGTTGATTTTGTCAGCACTGTTCGGGCTGAAGCCCGTTAAGCGATTCTCAAATATTGTTCATGTCGTATAAGACTTGGGCAATGGTTCGAGAAGCTTCAACGGTGCTGAGCGCTATCGACGCGAGATGAGCTTCATATGGACGTAATTGCCTAAAACAAAGATCTTAATAATTACTTGGCCTCAATAAACATCATTATAATCGGCTGAATTATAAACTATTTAAAAACATGTAATCCAATTATTGTTAAATAAAAACAACTTATATAATATCGAAATTGGTAAAGCCATGCTGCAGCTATATTATTATGGCTGTAGCGGGAACGGGTCGGCTGGACCGGGACCACGCCCTTACACAATACCAGCGTGAAATATGGTGCGGCTTAACGCTGCTGTGTTTCGTATGGTGAGTGTGGAGAGCCGGAGACTCATTTTACTGGAAACTAGGCTTTCCATCATAGTCCTCAGAGGTGATAGCACATCTGCATTTTGAGTTTTAATCGAGGATAAATGTACATTATGGGCCCCAGCGACCAACTGGGGGGGTGTGTTTTTTTTCTTTTTATATATATATATATATATACACTGTATCATAAATAACGCACATCCTGGAAGTAGTTTGTTCAGAATCGTTTACTGAATCGATTCCTATCATTTTTAATACATATAGGTAATTTTTTATCCCAAAAATAATTAAAACTACGTAAATTACAGTCACACTAAATCTGTACAGTCAAAACAAACTGAAATGGACCGTAACTTAAGGCAATAAGACTTTTAAGAGTTCAGATTTATTTGTATTATTACTTATTCTGTCATTTAACAAAAATAAAGAAAAATGAACTTTATTTCAATCACGTTAAAGTCTTTGCGTTCGTGGATTTGTACTGTGACCACAACATTCTTCCGGAATTAGTATAACTAATTCGATAAATAATCAGTGCATAAAAATGTTTAACTAAAAATTCAGTGTATGTATTATGATTTTAACATAACAACGACTACACAGCCCGAATAGATGCCTAATGCATGTACTTCTGCATCCAAACTTTTCTGTCAAAAGTCTGAGGTAAGTGGTACGTAGGAGGCGCGTTGAAATGGACGTTAATTGGTTAAAATCAAGGTTGCGACACTTGCTAATAAGCAAATAGTGATGGGAACTTTAACTAATAAATTTGGTACCAAGTCTACTTAATCAGTACCAGAATTATATTCCACTTTAAATTAGTACAAAATAAAAAAAGAAGTTTTATTTAAGTAGGTATCGTATTTATTAAAATACCTATATATTTTTGTTTTATAGAATATTTTTTATTAAAACAAGCTTTCTTTACAATATTGAAATAATAATAGAATACTATTAAAAATAAAATAGCAACAGTCAAGTTCACTTCCGTTTCCTACTTGTCCTGACATGGCGTTTTAGCAGTAAAGAGAGCGGAGTGCCGTCTATCAAAAATTATATCAATTTTATTATGAATTTTTTTAAGAAGTTTTGAATAATTTGATTTAATTATTAAATCAATTAATTCAAATATGGATTAACGTACATTCGTTAAAAAAATTCAGCTTACAACTATGTCGTTTATAGTATAAGTCTGTAAAACATTCACGATAACACGCGTAATATTTACTTGTACCAATATTATAGTTTAACTGGTACAGCACTAGTTACACGTGCCGGTAATTAAAGAAAAGTATAGCAACAATAAACTGAATTGAAAGGAAAGGGATGCCTAGTCCGAAAATATCCGAAGATGTCCGAATAAATCAACGCGAGTTGCTTGTGACAAATATATAAGTTGAGCTCTGATTTAATTTTAATTAATGAATTTGAAAATTAAAATTCACTTATCTATGAAAAGTATTGCCATTTTTTTTTTTGAATTACACATTTGGCTACCATTTTCGCACTATTTTATTGTACAGGAAACCATGTTGCGCGTCTGTTGTATTTTATTTTGTCGAAAATTCACGAGTCACATGTAAGATGTTTACGGGTGAGGGAAGTGGTCGCTACTAAAGTAGGTCGTGCGATCGTTTTCTTAAGTAAGACGTATTTGTCTAACGTGTTGACAGAAAATGTTTGCCTTGCATGAGACGTCTATTCGGGCTGTGTAGTCGTTGTAACATAATATACTAATTGGGGTGTCTGAGGGTGTGCGTTAATTACGTTACATATTGTATATATATATAGTAGCAGCTTATTTTGACGGCTAGCCCGTTAGTTATACTACAGTTTAAAGTGAGTTTAACAGTTGGGAAACAAATGTACTTGTGCAGAGCAAAGGCGGGGACCTTGCGGGGCGGCGCGACATTATACTAGCGCACTCCACTAAGTCTGCTGTACAGTACATGCGGTTGACACGAGCGTGTTTTATTGTATATTTTAAGTGCCGTTTTCTAAAAATATAATATGTATCTATAATGGTGAATTACTTTTATAGTTATACGAGTTACTACTTAAAGTTTAATTCAAATGACGGTCATGCTTGTTTCTCTCATCTTTTCTGATAATTTTGTTTATCCTAATGCGAATACACTAAATAATTAACTTTAACAATCGAAAACATCTAATAAAAAAACAGTGTCACGAAAATATTTGGCGGTACAACACTTGTAAATGTATTTTTTCCTTGTAGTCATAAGAAAATGATCTTGTTCAATGTTTTTTTTAACTTATAAGCATTAACATAATGTTTATAAAAGATAATTAGTATTACAGTATCCGAAATTATTTTAATCCCAATTACGTGACAACCACTAGCATATTTGTAACGACGGCGTAAATTGTAATTGTAAATACCTACGCGGGCGGCTAGATCAAAGTCGTTTCACAACTGTTAGACTGTGGTTAACCGTTGATTGTAAAATAAAAGATAGACAGTACCGACTAAATACGTTGCTCGCAACCTATGTCGCATGTTGCCCTAATGAGTGTTGGCAGACTTTACATATTCTCCAACACGTTGAACATAGGTTGTGGTCGGTTGTAATGTAGTGAAGGCAACATAATGGAGAAAAATCTTACCGTCGTCCTGTATTCGAATATATCACTATGTTTCTCAATATCAATGCCGCTGTCAACCGTATACTCTTTGTGACTGGACCTTCGTTTTCATCCTGTTACACAAAAAAACGAAACCGTAATCACTTAGCACTGTAATACTGCTCCAGAGTAGACAATACCATAGACAAACACAAACTCATATCGCATAACGTGAAAACAGCATGCCGAAAACAAAACATAAAATATAATATTGAAAAAGCATATCAATTCTATTTCTCAGTGTTGCTACAATAACAATTTTTGTAGATGTTACGGCTAAAAGCGAAATTATTTAGTCAGCTACAACTAATTGCAGGCGATTGCGTTTAGTTAAACTTAGGTATAGTCTACATCATTTATAAATTACATTAACGTCCGCAGTTTTGACTACATTGCTGTCGCTGATATTACTTAATACAATTTTCGTATGTTTGAAAATATTTCACAGTACATCTAAACTTAACCAACCGTAATCTGTTGCACCAAGTTATAGCTTAGCTTAAGTGTAACTCGCACTTCGGTATATATATATATATATATATATATATATATATATATATATATATATATATATATATATATATTAATAAAAACAACGCAAAAATTACGATAACGCCATAATTTCCAACATTTGAAATGAAAGACAATTGTAATAAAATAGATAAAATTACTGGTTTTGTTTGAATTTAATGGTAAAATGGTTTTATTGTTACTGAATTTAAAAGCATGCCAATAGATAAAATCTGCTTTATCTTTAAAAAGCCATGTAGAAAACAGGTAATTTTTTAAATTTTTTTTTAATCAAGCACACTATTGACATTAAAAAAATTATACGGCAAAAAAAACAGCTAGTCAAACAGACGAACACAAAAGCACTAAAGTGCAATCTTGCGCGCTCAACGAATCACGAAACATTTTTCTTAATTCCTTTTTAACAATTTAAGATTTGGTTTGCGTTCATAACATATTTTTCGTAACGAAAAAGAATATGAAAATAATTTTAACAGGTACTTCTTATTCCGGTTCGTAAATCTTTATCATTTTCAAACGTTACTATTTTAATTGAGAAAATTGTAGCAATGCAAGGCAAATGTTGCATGTACCAACTTTTAAAAGATGCATCTAGATCCGAATCTCCCGGCTCGTTCGTGGTCGCCACATTTCCATATTTTGTTTAATATTTTTTTGTTTTATAGTGGGAACGCCTGCTATTTATATATACGCCTGCGGCAAGGTAAAATATCTACCATAAAAAATTACATGTCTATATTTACAAAGGGTAATTATAAAAAATGATATGGTTGGGAAAATATCAATGAAAATTTCTAGCAATGAAGTAAATAAGTATATTTTTAGTCTTATGGATTACGAATAAAATACTTCATAGAATAAATCTTTATATAAATTATATAAATTTAACTTTAATACTAAAGGTAGATTAGATAAGATCGAAAATCTATCATAAAGTTAAAAAATAATACAAGGAAAACTCTATTTCGTTTACTTATTTTACTTATCATATATCAATCACCAATTATTTTATACTTATAAATAAATAAGTTTGAAAGACCGTTGAGTGCGCATCGATTTAAATCGTGTATCTCACCAATTGCTCCGGCGTGCGACTGAGTTCGGCCCTGTGCTGCACGCACACAAACATACACGTTAGTGACAGTACACAAGTGCTACGGTTAGTGTAAATATTGAGAGGCCAAACAAACAGCTCTGACATGTGTATGCTTTTTAGAGGAGTTTTTCGCAATTAATCGCGTCTGATCTTAGTGCAAAACATATGTGTTATTTAGTATTATATGATCGTTATTTAATGGGCACTTGTGTATTTTGATCATGAATTAAGGTAATTGAATTATTTCTTATATTTACGCAAACAAAACATTAAACAAAACTAATTTTGCAAATTTTATTTCGGATGCTTTACACAACTACGGTCACTAAACGTCTTCAATTATTAATAAATTAAACATGCACGCGTTAAAATCTGTAAAATTAATTTTATTATATATAGTCATGGCAGGGCCGGATTAAGGCCGGATAAAGACCAGGCAATTCACGTGTTGAGATCCCTTGCTTTTATGCAAATTGTTTTCAACACAACAATCTCTAACGTAAAAATACTCCTTTGCCTTCAAGTTTATCTGCCTCTAGGTAATCTACGCAGGACCAGATATATTCTAATACATTTTATCGAAGTGACCGTAAAGTCTAAACCAGGCTACGGCTATAGCGGCTTCTAATATTATTAGAAACTTACAATTACACAGGAAATATTATAGTACCTCAAGAATATACAGGGCGTAAAAATAGAGGCACTCGCTCGTCCTAACCTACCCGTGCCCGATGAAATGCTTACCTGTACTAAGATCTAAAGTAGACTAAGATGTACAATCAACCATGTGAAAAATCAGAATCAAACCAAACTTTAAAACTAACAATTGGGTAGTTGACACCAATATCAATAAATAATATCATCATCGCTACAGCCCATTACTAGCCCAATGTACACACAAAGGCCTCCCTCATATTGCTACAAAATATGCTCTTGAGCCGCCTACATTCGTCGACTCCTTGAGATCTTTCTTTCCCATCGTTTGCCGATTCTTCGAGCTATGTGCCGGGCTATTGCCACTTGTTTTTCTGCGGATATCCTCGTTACGAATTTTGTCACGCAGAGAAACTTTCTATCAGTTGCTGAGTGACTTTGAGTTTGTAATTTATTATATGATTTAAATTTGTTACTTTAATCTATAAATTTCATCAGTTTTCCATTTTAAGTGAAATTAAATTTCACTTATATTTAAAATGTATGTATAATATATATACATAATTGAGATGATTATTTGACTATTATATAGTTTGACGACGTTGAAACATCTTTAATTTAATATTATATAGATTTTTATTCATTACGTCTTTTTTTTTAAATAATAAACTTTACTTGTCTTCAAGTGGACTAACCATAAGTTCTCTCGGGTTGAACATGTCTGCGGCGTGCTTGTTCAACGCTGCGAGCGCGGCGTTAGGCGGGTATCCCAACGACACGGGCTTGCTCGCCTCCGCTTCTGCGGCTGCGTGACGACGAGAGTTGAAGATCGCTTTCAATGCCTGCACAAAAAGTAAGTGATTTATTATATAGTTACACATACTTACTACTGTGAAAATTAAGCATCATAAAAATAGGAATGGAGTGATTGCAATACAAGATTCGATCTTTTCACTGTCTTTCTTTCTTCTTTTCTTTTGATTGAGATCTTTAGAAAATATTAGATTGGCAAACGAGCTGAATCCACTTACGGTCAGGTTTTTTTTTATAGAATAAGGGTGACAAACGAGCACACAGTTCACATGATGGTAAGTGGTTGCTGTGGCCCATAGACATTTACATTTATAGTCAAATAAGAATCATAACGCAGATACGTTGTCACCCCGAAAGACTAAGATGGAATGCGTTTCCAGTAAAAAAAGGGTATCCAGATTTCTACACTCACCATACGAAACACAGCAGTATTAAGGTGTTATTTTACGCTGGTATTGTTCTGTAATAGCGTGGTTCTTCCTCGGTCGAGCCGACCAATTCGAACTACAACCATAACATAGTTGCATCGTGGCTCTACCACATATAAAGATGAACTAATACAGTCCATCAGACGGTAAATGTTAAATAAATACAGACTTTGAAACTTTTATCTTCTATTAATTTCAATTTGGAAAATATACTGCTTACTATGCGACAGGAACAGCTAAAAGACAGAAAGAGAAAGCAAGAAAGAAAGAAAGAAAGCAAGATAGAGGAGAGGTAACAACCCCGAGAGATTCTATGCGGAAAAAGCGCCTACCTTGTTACTATGTTATCGACACTGATTTACCGCGATGTGCCGAAGGTTACCTGGCATTTCCTTTGGGGTTCTGCCTTGTTATTCTAGTAATATTACCCCAAGAACCCACAATAAAGAAAAACCCTCGCATTTGCCCCCCTTCCTGAGGAATGATGCAGGTGACTCCGGGCCACTTTCATAGCAGTTTAAGACTTTATTCAGCGGTGGACTTGTGATAGGCTATGATTATGATGTTGTATATGAATATATTACTCACTGCCGGCGTGCAATGTTTGTCAGTCAGGTGGTTCAACAGGGCGAACGTCTTCCGCGGCACTCTGTCGCAGTCGAGCCACATGCAGGGCGCTTCGCCGCCGGCCGCTGTGGGGCAGTGCACTCGAGCGGCGTGCGTGAACACTTCCGACGCGTTCAAGAATGATCTAAAGGAAGAAATTTGTCTCAAATATATAAAATATATATATGCTAACTAGATATTAACTACTTTAATTGAACTATGTGCTTTTTTAAGAACTTAAGTATTAAACGAGTATGCAGTCCATGCTGATCTCTTATAACATGTAATAGTTATAATTTTAAAATGTTCATTTTTACGTATCTACTCCTGAGTTTTTAAGATTGAAATCTCTAAATCATCGGGAAGTTAATTAAAAATCAATTACAAAATTTATACCGAACAGAGAAGAAAGAGAGTTAACAAAAACGTGGTAAAAGAGTTAACAAAAACGTGGTAAAAAGGATATAAGTCCTCTACACTCAAATTATGATTGTATCCTGTGAGAAGGTCAGGTCATCCTTCCCCGGTCAGGGCAAACCCGTTCGTATTGCAGCTGTATATGTATGCATGCGTAAGAGAACACGTCGCCTCATATCGTCTCGTGTGCATGGTAAAGGCAATTATGGGAAATGCCGATTAATCTTGGTTATAATCAATATAATATTTTTAGTGGGTGAAGCAGACGCGGGTGGGCGATCGACGCGCGGGGCCCCTCGCGTATCTAGCTAGCTAATATTCCGTTTATCTACTCATGTGACAATAGCGACGAGTAGGGGCCCTCCCAAATGAAAAATTATATAGGGGAGAGGCGTACAAAATGACATAGGTGGATCAAATGACATACCTACTTTTCTCCGAAACCACAGACTTATTAGTTCTCACAATGGCTTGTAAAGGATCGCTTAGTAACAGGTCGCAACCTGTGGCAGCACCAGTCGCGTTCGTTGGGCCGTGTGGTGCGGACACATGTTTGTTTAATTTTTGTAGTCACGAGTTATAAGCAAGTAGATTTTGTTTCTCGTACAAGTAAGTAGTTTTTACTTTAATTTGTTTTTATTTAGCATTTATTTATTGTAATTTTACTAAATAACTTCGAGAATGTTTTGGAAACTCAAAATTCTAGTTAAATTTTTGGTTATTGTTTTCTAATGTTGAAGGTTATGAAGTGGACAAAATGGCATACACCTTGTTCGGGTAAAATAGCATACCATGTCATATGACCCACCTTTTTTCTTTTTTCCAGATAATTGTACATGATGCCACGCAACTATTCTAGAAAAACAGACCGACAGGATTGGGATAAAACCTCCATGGAAAAGGCTATTGATGCTGTAAAGAATAATGAAATGGGTTGGCTATTGGCTTTTAAAGTGTTTAACGTCCAACAATCGACTCTTAGAAGACATGCACTGAAACAAAATAAAGTCTTAGCTCCAACTACAAAAGGTACCTACTTAGTATTTTTTTTCGCGTTTTGTTCGCATGATTAGAGCGGATTTAAACACGTACCTTTGTTTTAGGTATGGGTAGGTACAGGAGTGTCTTCACATATGAAATGGAACGAGAACTGGTAGAACATATTGAATTACTAGAAACGAGATTGTTTGGATTCACAAGAAAGGAAATTTTGGAATTGGCGTACCAGTTTGCAGACGTTAATAATATTCCTCATAACTTCAACAATGAAAAAAAGATGGCAGGCAAAGAATGGTTGGCTGGATTTCGACGCAGACACCCGGACATATCCTTGAGGAAACCTGAAGCGACTTCAGCTGCAAGAGCCCAAGCCTTCAACAAGCCCCAAGTAGCACTGTTTTTCAACACTTACCAAGACATTATTCAGAGCAACAACATTTCTCCTCATAGGCTCTACAACGTCGATAAGTTAGCATTATCAACAGTCCAGAGACCCCAAAAGGTCTTTGCTACTACTGGTCGTAAGCAGGTTGGGGCTTTGACTAGTGCTGAAAAGGGGTCTCATGTGACAATTGTTTGTTGCATGAGTGCAAATGACCATTTAATCCCGCCGTGTTTAATTTATCCTAGAAAAAATATGAAACAGGAGTTGATAGACGAAGCTCCTACCGGTACTATGGGTATTGCGCAGGAATCAGTTTGGATGACAACAGCTGTATTTAATAAATGGTGCACTTTCAGTTGCATGTAAAAGCGAGTCTTGATGACAAAGTGCTTTTAATAGTTGATGGACATATCAGTCATAAAGGTATTGAAAGCTTAACATTCGCAAAAGAGCATGGAATCATTATGGTGTGCTTGCCACCTCACTGCACGCACCGCATGCAACCATTAGACGTATCTTTCTATGGTCCATTGAAGACTTATTTTAATCAAGGAGTGAGCACTTGGTTAAAGAGCCATCCAGGTAGAGTTGTTACTCACTTTCAAATAGGCGCAATACTCAACAAAGCTTATGGCAAAGCAGCAACGGTTCAAACTGCCGTCAATGGATTTCAAAAAACTGGTCTCTGGCCTGTTGATCCATACATATTTCCAGATTATTTGTTTGAGCCTGCTGAGACGACAAACATTCCCATGCAACAAGATCGGGTAGAGCTAGAAGAAGATTCAACGGCAGCAGAAAACCTATGCATACCCTCAGCGGGTCCATCTCAGGTAGAAGCAGGGAGTTCGACATCACTAATAATTGCAAGCACATCAGCCGCAGACAACCCACGTCCAATCTCAGTAGTCCAATCTAGAGACACAGCTACTGCAATACCTACGACACCCACATCATCTAAATTGATAATCCAAGAAATATCTCCAGTGCCAAAAGGAATTTATGTGGCTGAACAAGGTAAAAGAAAACCACGCAAGAAACCAACAGTATTGGTGTTAACTTCAACGCCAAATATAGAAGAGGCAAAAGCAAAATCAGCTCCTCCACCTGTTCCAAAGAAAAACACGAGAAAGGTTACAAAAGCTCTGGATTTTAGTTCCGACAGTGAAAATTATTTCTCTTCCTTACAAGCTCACACTGAAGCCGGAGATGATGATGAAGATTGTCCTTGCATTTATTGCAATGACCTCTACTCCAGGTCCAAGCCAAAAGAGGTCTGGCTAAAGTACTTGAGCTGTAAAACATGGGCTCATGCATCATGTGCAGATGTTCTGAAAAATACAAAACGTTTTACGTGTGAACTCTGCATGTAATCGACTGATTTTCATAAAAAATTTGGTATGCCATTTTGTCCACACCACGTGTGTCATTTTATCCGCCTAGGGTGGACATAACGGTTTTTGTTCAAGTTTGAAAAAAATATTAATAATTCTATTGTTTTTGCACTAAGTTGATTGATCTCTATAATTTTAATAGGTAATGAACTAAAGAATACATAGTTACTTAAAGTGTTCACTATTATTAATAAACATAGATTTGATGACTGATTTTATAACTAGTATGTCATTTTGTACGCCTCTCCCCTACATATATATTGTATCGATATTTTTAAACAGTATCGATATATTCACGTGAAAGATATCGATATATCGTCATGTTTTGCATAATGTTGTAGGATAAGGTTCAAAATGGTATTACTGGACGGTTGGATGACGAAATAAAACGACACACATGAATGTTTTTGTAGCTTCTTTTGTTGCTTATGAAGTGTAGAATTATTTCATAACCCACTAATAGTTGAATACATCTACGTAGTATACAAATATATTGTAATTGATTGATATAACCAGTGTTTATTTATAAAATAGTTTCAGATAATAATTGAGTGCACCAAAAGAGCCTTCTCGTGTCGCGATACCTATATTATATTATAGACAGGTACAACATGATGCGACTCGTACCTATGCCTATAGGTGCTTACTTACGAGTCGACGTATACATGAAAATAAACTAAGTACATACCTCGGTATGTATGTAGTTTATTTTCATGTTGAAAAGTATTTCATCATTATTTTATTTGGACATTATCGTCCAAGGCGCTTCTTGTAAACTAAAAAAATACGTGTGGCACTCGGTGACTGCCGCGGTAAAGCTATTGCATAGCATTTTTTATCAACTTATGCAATTATAATTATTTATTTATTTTATTTATGCAGTTAAGTCTTTGACATTAAATCAAGTTACACTTTTTGAGCGTGGTGACTGACAAGAAAACAATTTTTTTTCTCTTATTGAATAAATGAGAAGTTAATATTGTTTAAAATATTTTTAATATCTTACAATACATGTAGGTTATTCAGGAATTTTTATCATTGAGTTAGCAGCGTTAGTGTACACGCATCATACGTCTAGTCGCACGCACACAAACACCGTGCCGAAGTCTGCAGAGTGCCGAAGTCTGCCGAACTGAAACGACGTTAGACGATGCACGGCTTTCAACGCCACACCTCCGTGCCCGTCGGAGTGGGGAGCGTGAGGTTTTTTTCGTTACGGAATTTCTGGATTCGGTCCCCGCGCTCAAGGCCCGCGATAGAAGCTATGCAATAGCTTAATAAGTACCAACAAATATTATTTTTTATAAATTTATATCCCAAGCGTCTTGGACGATGGTGTCGAAATAAAATAATGATGAAGTACTTTTCAACATAAAAATAAACTAGGCATGAGCCTAAGCACACTCAAGTGTTGAATAAAACTAAATTTACGGATTTTATCGCGTTTATTTCATTACTTTTACTTATTTTTAATTCCCGACGTTTCGGGTGCTTTACAGCACCCATGGTCACGGGGGGGACTGAGATGACACTCAAGTGTTTTTGCCAGTATTTTTTTTATAACTTTACCCCCACACTAGGATTTACTCCTGTATCGTAGAGGCAGTTTACAAACATAAATTGCACAAGAACTGACGTCCAGACCCGGAACAATTATTTGTAGGTCATAAAAATACTTGTTCCGGGAATCAAACCCGCGGCCCCCAGCGCAGCCACTCATTGCTAAGGCAGTGCGCCACGGAGCCGTCATTTCGTCAAAGTATATCTGTTACAAACGAAAGTCCCTCATACCTATAACAAATTTTTACTCATCAGTTTATATTATAAACATACTTAGTACCTACATTTACATGTTTATTACTTGCTAATAGCTCACTGTTTGAGTATCTACTCAATAGGACTAGACTATAACTAGGACTAAAAAAGGCATCCAAACCGGTTCGGATGCCTAATTTTTCACCACCTCTCAACTTATATTCTTACGTTTATACGACGACAGCGGGCGTGATAAAATTGTACACGGATGCTCTTTACGACGCGCTGGGGACGACTAGCGGGACGAGTAAAGATGGCTAATATATCTTTTAACTGTTAAAATAAACAGGAGTTAATTAATTTTCGTTCGATAAAATGACTTCACCTATTGAATGAAGTAGATGGCGCTATTACAATTTTATAAAAATAGCAATTTCGTATACGAAAGGAAATATTCTTTAAAAATATCAATACATGTATTCTTTTGTTTTATTACATTAAAATTTAGGCTTCACTTTAAAAATTAGGATTGTAACAATTATTTGATATAAATTTAAACTTTTATCTCATATTTCATGTTGGACTTGTGATTGAAAATTATCATATTAAATAATAAATCATGTGCCGTTAAATCTTTTGAAGTGTTACTTTTATTAAACCGTACAAAATGATATTTTTAACACATAGGGATAACGCTATTGGCTGGATACGTTAGTGATTGATGTTAATTTTATGGATTTTGTTAATACGCTATTGGCTGAAATATTGGTTGGTGTTTATTTAAACGGAGCGCGTCAGTTTAATAATATTTTATTTAGAGTTCACTTTTCACCATTATATTACAAGGGATTTGGGATATCAATATATTAAGGAATATATAAAAAGTTGTAGAAATAAGTACTAGGGAAGGTAATTAAGATTGAGTGAAATTAGTTTTTATATTATATAGTATTATTTAGTGTAGTGTTAATTTTCTTTTTTATCATGCCGCGACGTCACACACAGCTGTGGGACCATTTTGAAAAAATGTGTCGGAGGCGAAAAATTGGCAATATGTAATTATTGTAAAAAAACTTTATCGTATAAAGGCTCAACCAGCAATCTAAAAACACACTTGAAGTTAAAGCATCTTAGCGTGTATTCAAATTTAACGCATGGAACAGTTGGTGAAAGTGGTTACGGTGAAGGAATTTCGACTGTTGTTACCGATAATAGTAGAAATGTCGTTGGGGATAGTAGTGTACCTGGTGGTAGTGGCATATGTGGATATACTGGGGAAGGTGGTGGTAATGACGATGGTGGTGGTGGTAATATCGGTGATGCTGGTGTGGGTATTTCGTCAGCTAATGAGCCGGCGAATAAGGTTCAACGCATGATGTCATCTTACCTACCCAAGAAACTTCGACCAGGAGATAAAAAAATAATTGATGTGCCTCATAAAATTAATAGCCTACGATTGTCAACCATTTTCGATCGTAGATGACCTTGGATTTAGAGAGTTTGTACGTGCTTTAAATCCATCATATGAACTACCAAGCAGGAAGACAATTTCTTCTTCGATGTTGCCAGCATTATATGAAGAACGAAGGCAATATTTTAAAAATGTTGTAAAAGAAAACGCAGAAAGTGTATGCTTAACAGTTGACTGCTGGTCATCCAGAACTTTGGACCAGTATTTGGGAGTTACAGCACACTTCTTTTCCAATGAATTAGAAATTAAATCTGTTTTATTGCAGTGCGATCTGCCAGGATGAGCCAGGATTGCTCAAGAGTTAGAGGCAATAGGAGAAGCGTGGGGAATATCCCAAAAAATATTTTTTATTATGTCGGATAATGGCGCCAATATGTTAAGAGCGTGTACATTATTAAACTGGGACCATTTTGGCGGCTACGAACATAAATTTAATTTAATTGTACAGGATGCCTTAAATATAAATAAAAATACTTTGAAGAAAGTAACGAAAACAGTGACTTTTTTCAAAAAAAGTTGTCACGCAAAAGAAAAACTGTTAAAATATCAATTTAACAACCAAAATATACAACAACCTAAAACCGTTGTTAAAGCAGTTCCCAACAGGTGGAATTACACTTTTTTAATGTTGGAAAGATTTCACGCCCTAAAGGAAGCCCTTCAAGCAACAATTGCCACAATGAACGTTTCGTTTCCTATAATCCCTAATGAAGAATGGGAATGCATTGAGCAAATGTGCTGGGTTTTAAAACCTTTTTATGAAGTAAGCAATGTTATAAGCGGAGAAAATTATTTAACCGCGAGTACTGCCTTAGTGCTTACTTTGAGTTTAATGTCCATATGTGACAATATATCTAACAGAAATTTGTACGCTCCCGTCCTTGGCATGTTATGTAAATTAAAGGAAGGATTGGTTCAAAGGCTTGGCGATATTCGTCACAATACGGCAATAGCAATGTGCACACTTTTAGATCCACGGTATAAAGATGTGGCTTTTTCGGACGATGTGGCTTTAACGAACACAAAAAGGCACTTGTTGACGATAATGCAAAATCTACTGACGGACGACGATTTAAGTGCTACACCGAGTGAAAATGAGCAAACTGGATCTGAAAATCTATCAATATGGGGTGAATTTCATCTGAAAATCAAACGCTCAACTACGCCTAAGACAGCCAAGACCAAAGCCATGGAGGAACTTGAAATGTTTTTAAAAGAAACGGTTATTTCAAGGACATCATTTCCACTGACGTGGTGGCGCACGCATAAATATATATACCCAGTTTTGTATAAAAATTTCAAAACTCGATGTAACATTATGGTCACTTCAGTTCCCTGTGAACGTGCTTTTTCGAAAGCTGGGTACATAATAAATGATCCTAATGTAATATATAATGTATAATGTTTCTAAACATTAATAAAATATAACTAACAATCATGTCTACATAGAATTATTACGTATATGTCTACTTAGCGTAGTAAAAAAAAGAAAAAATATTAAAGGAAAAAATATAAAACATTTATATGAAGAGTAAATACTGAGTATCTATATATCATTATAAATAATAAACAATTTACTGTGAATTATAACATAATGTAAATAATTAATGAATAAACCTTTAAATACCTAGCTTAATAAGACTTTAATTCTAAAGATTCCTGTAGGTACCTAAAGTATGAAGAAATGTTTATTGAATTAAAATTTCATGAGTAAAATTTAAGCAATTAACAATAAAATTAAATATATAATAACTTAAGCAATAAAATGAACACAACCAATTATAAATAACAGATCACTACGAAAGTAAGTAATATTTTACTCTTAATTTTATTTCTTAAAAAACATTAACAAATAACTTTTAACAAATAAATAAATTTAACCATTAACGCCATGTATAGGGACGAGGGAACGGTGATATGCTCCTGTTTGATCGGCCCGCGCGCAATTTAATCGCGAAATATTTATTTGATATTTCTTTTTAAATTGATATATACTCTTTTAAAGAAAAATAATTCACTCATGTATTTACTGGTGAACACATAGCCTGAATTTAATTGAAATTTCTTTCATTACATTCGAATGAAACTGCTTTTTCACTCAGTGGACGTACCTAAATTAGTAGATTTTAAGGAAACTGCGATCTTTTTCTATCGAGCCAAAATGTGTAAACCGTGTTTTGGTCACCATAATTCACTAACAAAAATAATACGGATTCGTAGTTATTAATGACAAAAAATTGATTTTCTGTGCACCTATAAAGCGTGAAAAATCTGCTTTTGGCGCCCACTTCACCTGAATATCCAGACGGTGATATAACTGGAGTAGTTTAAGCTATTTTAGAAGGTACCTATTATTTAAAAAAAATACTCAATAGTAAAAAAGAACAAAAGAACATGCAGTGGTAAAAAAATATTTGCTCTAGTATCATCAATAAGGGAGCAAACAGACCTCCGCTTAATCATTTAATGAGAATAATACATATAATGTCCGCTCATTTTTATTGCGGTAATAGCGAACGAAGACCGTAGAGCGACGCGTGGAAGCTGCAGGTAAGGTAAGGAGGAAAGCATTCCACGCAAGCCCACAGTTACGTTTCAGGAGAAACAAACACAACTAGAAGACAAACCAGGTAGATTATTATGGAGCAGAAAATTCAACCACATTGCTTTCGTGGAAACTGCAGCTCATTATTTATAATTATAATATATTCAAAAGGTAGTAAATCAAAATAAAAGATCACTTACTTTCCACATCCTCTCCAGTGGCATATCCAAGGAGTGTCATCTGCTGAGAAAGAGGACGGAGCCGGTGGCGGTGTTAGCGTTGGCTTCGGTGTTGGCGGTTTCTGTAACCACGTATAACGATTAAAATATTGACTCCAAAAATCCAACACGACCGGAGAGAGATCAGGTTTTAAGTGATTTCCGAAGCACGGGAGTGAAAGCCCTACAACCTCACATTATAGAAAAAAAGCAGATATATTGCGCGGAATACTGTGAAGTTGGCATTTAGTCACAAAGTGAGTGAATTGAGTTAGCCGGGAAAGGAACAAGCTTCGCTTCAAGTCTCAATGTTCGATGCTTCAAACAACATTTTTGTATAACATTTTGTTATAATTATTTCAAACCTTCGAGAACCTTTAACCTTTCAATCGCCAAGCGTCCAAATTTTACCGCTTCGATGTTCCGTCAAAATTTAAGAGGTCAAATTTGACAGCGCTTTAACCCATAAATACTATGTTTAGAGACTACTTTTCTATGAAGGAGTTTGGCATTATAGAATCAATATGAAATTTTCTATCCTCTAGTGGAATAAAAAAAACAGGTCTATGGATATTAATTTATATTCTACGTTCATTACGTACGCCATTTTCATTTGGATGTTGTGTTGATTTTTGGATTTTTCTAGTGTTTTATTAGTGTTTTACCATAGTGTTTTATTATAAAATTGTTATAAAAGTTTTTGTGTGAATATAATTCATCTTTTTACGTAAATAATTTCGAGTAATATATAGAAATAATTGTGATTTTCACGCTGCCAATACAATAAAATCTTTTTGTAATAAAGGGCAACCTGACTTTTGTTTAGACCACAGGATAGAGAATTTTTTATATATTTTATAATTCCAAACTTCTTCATAGAAAAGTCTCTAAATATAAGTTTTAATGGTTTTAAGTGCAGTGGGTGGGTGCTCGGGATTTGTCAGGCGCATGCGACTGCACTAGAAAACAGAAAAAAAAACACAAAAAGTGTCGACGAGTTTTTTCGAACAACTTGATAATAAAAATAATTAAATCAAATCAATAACAGAGATTGTAATCGCCTCACCTCTGTAACAGGATGATTAACGACCATCTCCTTGTCACCTATTTTAGTGTTGCCAACCATAACCGGCTGCCGAGTGATTACTTGTCGCATAATAGGCTGTTGGGTTTTCTGCACAAAAGAAATGAAAATGAAAAAGCTAATACTATAAAGTACTTGCACCCCTATTTTTTATTTAGGTATTGATATATTTCTATCGTTTTTAATAAGCGTATGGACAAATATCTTATGTTTTATAGAAATATTGTGACAAACGAGCACATAGACCACCTGATGGTAAGTGGATACTGGGCCTATAGAGATACGTAGTATGTCATCAATTAAGAAGCAAAATGCGTTGGCAAAGATGCGTTGTCACTCCTGGGGACTAAGATGAAGTTAATGAAATATCACGATAGTATAAACATTATTTATAAATAACGAACAAAACAAACTAAACAAATGTAATCACTCTAAATTATTCTTAATTATATTCCCCTTATACGTAATAAGTCACTTACCGGGCTACTCTGTATAACGCTAGGTTTACTCTCACTCTGCGCTACTACTGTCGGATTCGCGGTATTAGATACATTTCCCACTTGACTTCTCTGTGGTTGTACTACTCTGTGCACGCCGGGTTTCATGGGTGCGTTCATTATGATCTGTTGGTTGTTCGACACGGCAATAATTTGCTGGTTTCCTTGCAACAGTTGTTGGTTGCCTTGTATTATTTGCTGGTTGCCGCCGATCTGACTGCCTGATGACGTGTTTATAAGGGCGGGGGGTTGTTTCTGAGATACAACGATTTGTTGTGCTTGCGGAGGATTGACGATTTGAGCTTTGTGCGGTTGCGGTTCGGTTGTTATTAATGGTTGTTGACTTGGAGTGATTTGAGGGGCACTCTGTAGACATTACGTATGCGTTAATAAATATATTATAATAAATTATAATATCAAAAATAATAGTTATAACATTTTAAAACAACAAAGTGTAAACTGTACGCCTACCATAAAAAGCTATTTTATTAAAACATCAAAAAATCCTGATGAAATTGTTTATATAAAAACATTATAAATTTTCTTTTAAAATTTTTGCAAAATTTTAACAAAAAAATTCATAACATTAACTGCGAAATTAAAAAAAATCACAAATTTTAATCTACGAGGGCGGCACTGAAAATTTCGGGAATCAAGAAGCAGTGGCGAAGCTTCCATTAAAGCCGAAAAGCCGGGCTTGCCTTATTAAACCTGAATCAATCAATAATATCAACTAATAAAATAACTCGTAAAATGTTTCAAGCTATTTCAAATTTCCCGCGCACTCCATTGTTCGACACATGTCGACCGATGACCTCGTATTGCCTTAGCGATACTGCTGCTGTCATAAAAAATGAGTTTTAATAGAGCTAATAGTTGTCTCCCTCGCTCGCGTGGGCTTTTTACGGGGCTTTCGAGAAGACGATCGCTCTCTATCTAACCTATGGCAAAATATTCTATAATGAAATATAACTACGATTGTATATATAGCAATTACTATAGAGATTCAAAGCCAGGCTTGGGAATAAATTTGTTAAAAGCGGAGGCGCGCGGGCAATATGTTTGCAAGTTCATTTCACGTTTCAATGTTTATTATTTACTCTGTGTGCTTTTCTTAAGCGATTTAATATTACGAGTTCAAAATTTATGCTTTTTTAAAGATTTTTAATGAAAATGGAGGACAATAGTGTTCCTTGTGATGAATTGAAGTGTGTTAAAGTGATAATCGGAGAGGAAATCTTTAAACTTTGTTGAGATAATAAACAAGGTTAAGATTGTATTTCTTATCAATTATCGCAATTAAAAACAGTTATTGGTACAATTAAAACGTTCACCAACATTTTACGTGAACGTAATTAAATCTTGCCATAAGAAAGCGAGACGATTCCACTTATCTTATCTTATCTCTTATTCATTAGAATGTAAATAATTTTTTTTTAATTTTGTACATAGTTTGTTTGTACTTTGTTCGTGTTTTACTTTTGTTCATGTATTGTATTGGATGTAAATATTTTTTTTCTTTCGCTTAAACAAACCCAAACGGCTTTCTTCAAAGCCACCGAAGAATATGAAATTGCTGATATGTAATATAATCTATCTAGCAGTGGTATGCCTTCTGTGTGCTTTGTTAAACACGTCCTTGACAGCACTGAATATGAAACTGAAGCGTGGAGACAGATCAAGATTGGTGTATTTTTATAAAACTGCTAAAAACAACAATCTATATTTTTATCAATTTATATCTTGGGCTTGCCCTAGCTTGGAGCTCTTGTTTCGCCACTGTCAAGAAGTGACACAACATTACTATTTAAAAATGTATTTATTGCTTTTCGAAGTATTCTCCGCGAAATTTGACAAATTTTTCCATACGATGGAACCAATCATTGAAGCAACCATTCCATTCGGAAGTTGGGGTCTCCAAAATGGCCGTTTTGTAGGCGTCCACAGCTCCAGGTGATGAAAATCTTTGTCCACGCAATTTATTCTTTATTTTAGGGAAAGTACAGAAATCATTAGAGCTTAGGTCGGGGCTTTTACGGCGGATGGTCTAATAATCAAAGATTTAAATAGTTAGAGATGCGCCTTCACCTTGAAAACTGTGGCATTATTTTTGGATGTGTTCGTTTGCAAGACGCTGACGCGCGCACACTAATGCAATAGTGTCATCTTATTATCTTACAGAAATTGTGTATACTACTTTCTCCGTCGCACAAATGAACACTGATTGCGAATGAGTGAGCTCACTCATTTGAGAATGGACACATTTCGGAGTAGTCATACTATGGTAAGGGCGCATCTAACTATTTAAATCTTTGCTAATAATTCTATGTTTTCTTGCTCTAAAAACTCTTTTGTTCTGTGTGCGGTGTGAGAACTCGCATTGTCCTGATGGAGGATGATGCGGCGGTTGCAGTTCTCTTTACGGAGTTCAAAAACGACCTGTGGCAAACAAATGCTAGCATACCATTCTGCATTAACCATTTCTGTCCCTCAAGAGGAATAGTCGTAACATGGCCGGTTTTGGAGACAAACGTGGCCACCATTTTTTTTGCAACACTCCGTGAACGAACAATTTTTGATGGCTTTAACTCATTTTTGAACACCCAAACTCGTGACTGGTTTTTTGTTTCGGGTTCGTACGCGTATATCCAGGATTCGTCACCTGATACGATGTTGTATACAGCATTTGAGGGTCCTGCGTGGAATCTTTCGAGAGTTCTGACGCACCAAGTAACGCGAGCCGCTTTTTTGCTCTTCACAGAGCGAATGCGGTATCCATCGGGAAAACAACTTTTTTACACCTAATTGTTCAAGCAAGATTATTTGTATTTGACTCATGCCAATGCCTAAAGTTGCCTGAATTTCGCGGTATGTCACATGTCGATCTTCCTCAATCAGCTTACGCACAACATCAACGTTTTCTTGGGTGACTGCAGTTTTTAGACGACCTTGACGGGGATCATCACTGAACTTGACACGTCCACGTTGAAATTCAGCAAACCAGCGATAAATTGTGGTTTTTGATGGGGCTTCATCACCAAATGCAGAAATCATCCGGTCAACACACTGTTTTTGTGTTAAACCACTTCGAAAGTCAAAATAAATCATCGCTCTTGAATTGTCTCGAGTCAATTCCATTTTCTCAACGACTAAACAAGTTTGACAAAACCTTGTGACAAAACCGAGAATCCTTTTTTAAATAAATAAATGGTATTCGATTTTTAAAACCAAGGAGTTTTCAATTAAAAAGATTTTAATCTGATAGGAACAGTGGAAATATTCCATTCCCGATACTTTTAGTGCAGCCTATGTATTTAACATTAATCTATTTTGTCTATTTGCAAGAATAAAAATATTTTTTCAGTTTTTATACAAATTTTATTTATTTGATTCAGACATAAACTTCAGAAAAATTATTTAAAAGTTGACCAATTTAATATTGGCGGATGAAGATAAATGTAAATAAGAAATGTTAAGTTGAAGCACCAATCATAAAATAGCATGCATTATATTGATAAAGTCCATTGAGAAAAATATAAATATTAAAAAGCCCTTCCACCAAGATTTAAAATAATACGAGCTATTAACAATACTTATGTAACAAGAAGGTTTTTTGTTAAAACATAAGTTATGAAACAGGTAACAAACATAAATGAGTAATACATATTACGACCTAGATCAGGCGCTCAATTTCAAGTTCACCCACCTATCATAAAAATCAACACAAATTTTATGCGTAATCTATATCAATAACTGCAAAAACATATAATATTTCTAAATAAAAACTAAGTATAAAGAAATAGCATGTATAGATTTAATAATTCTATTCATATTCATGCCCAAATATAATACTACTGAAGCGGCGGACGAAATCTACGGATCTACCAAATGAGGGTGAAGGTTAACCTGTGCTATGGCCGTTTTGACCACAGTGATGGTCTGTGAAGTGCTCACAAGCGTGGGTTGACTCACGATCACCCTTTGTGTCGACTGTATAACTCCCGAATTCTGTGCGTGGAACATACATTTTATATTTATATATTATATTTTATATTTCATAATTTGATAATAGTACTATCATAATGATTTCTTATATTTACGCGAATACTACACATTGATTAAAACTACTTTTACGGATTTTATCGCGTTTAATTTAATTTTAATTATTATTTTTTGGTGGGTGCTTTCCAGCATCCATGGTCACGGGGGACTGAGGTGACTGACGTCCCGATGTCATTGTTAAACCCGGAGTACCTTCAGCTTTTTTAATTAAAAAAGATGAAACTTGGTAATACGTTGTGATTTTTGGCTAACAACCCCCCCCCCCACTCTCCTACTCCCAGCACTACGTGTATTTTTTTAATTAAAGAGAGCAGATATTTTTAGAATTTTAATAAAAAAATATCATAAAATTAGATTTCGTCCCAAGAAAAACTACCCTTTATTTTCACATTATCAAACCCCTTCCTCCCATCGTGATTAATATTGTTTTTTTTTCTTACATTTAAATTTACTAATAACGCTTTACATACCTACATGTGTCAATATAAATAGATAAAGATGAAATTAGCGTGAAAAAGACGGAAGGCAAAAATACAAAAATCGAAGGAGCTTTCTCACTCTTACATTCCCGGAGGATGGAAACTCCAGGATCAAAATGATGGATTTTAATAGAGAAAAATTCTCTATTTTTGAACAATGAAAAACATTATCAATAAGAAAAACAATATAGAATGAATCATCCAATAAAGAATGATTAAAGCTTAGTTAATATACCTATAACATCAGGGGCAGACCGTGAATTTGTGGGGCCCAGGACTAACATATTATTATATACAATAATCAAGTCAAAAAATAGTTTGCCCTAATGATGTATACAGTCTAGAATAAAATTATGACTTAGATACATCAACAGCAACTGTAAGATATTATTGCACAGAAAATTAAAACGTTATCTGTAGTTATTACGTTAAATAAATTATAAAGACATTCTCGATTTTTGCGACTCCTTTATTTGCTCATCACGTTGCCAGTCCTTTTTTAAATTACACTTGATGGTAAAAACTGATAAATTTATTCGATTGTCCAACATTGTCGATCTTTATTTGTTTTCTATATACGACATCCTGGAGAAAGAGCTAGTGCTCGACAGCGTTTAAAATCTATAAGATAGTAAAGCAATTTGGGAAAACATCCACAAGATTCTTTTCGTTAATTAGCACAAACATTTCACTGCAAGAGGTGACTTTAGTAAGATTCTAGACTCTAGCTTAGACTTTAGTAAGATTTTAACCGAATTCAATCATTCACTAAATGTTAGCGTAAACGTCATGTGGATAATAATCAATAATATGATGTAGATGATACACTTTCCAGATTTGTTTCATTATTTTTGTCTTGCAAATCATATTCTCTCTGAAGATTCTTCCAAAAAAGTATCGAGTTTAACCACTTTATTAAATAAATTTCGTCCCTCTTTTCGAAAATTAACTCTCTCATCCTCATTTCTGCTAAAACTCATGATATATTCCTAATATCATCATAAATATTTTTGAAGCTTTGACAGCTATCTTCACTGGGGACTGGGGGCCCTTAATAATCACGGGGCCCTGGGCTGCAGTCCAAAAACCTATATATAGATCCGCCCCCGTGTTTTTGGGTCTACATTTATACTAAAAGAACTATGTACAAATATCACCAGTAATGCCAGAGTAACATTACTAATGATACAAGTGTGTGAAAAATCATTAGTTTAACTTAACACAAAAAAATTGTTTTTTACCCAAAAGGATTTTATAAGCGCGAAAACAAGGGTTTAAATTAAATAACTTTAAAAAGCAGTAAGTGAAAATATAAATGTGAAAGATGCTAGAGAAATGTAAGTTGTGCTGAAAAAAATGTTAACAAAACCCACAGAAAATTATGTTAATAAGGAAATACAAGCTGAAAGGAAATTAGTGACGTAAGCGCACATTTCTACGGGATATTTAACCTGTATAATTTGCTGTTGCGTTATCGCCTCTGTCGCTTGAGCAATAAGACTGTTTAACGTCGCCTCGTCCAAGCCGGCTGGGTTGTTCACCTTTTGTGTATAAGTTTGAGAGTATTAATCGTTTTAAAATAACAAACTAATCACTTTCATTAATTTTATATATTAAGAACGTGTAGGCGTGAACAATGAAATTATATATTATTATTATTGTATTTAACAAATAGCATGATTCTTTGTATTTCTTTATCTTAATCATATTTATTTTTTCAAATATAATAATCAAATTTCATAATAGTTAAAGTAAATGAAATTATCAAATGTAATGCAGGACACTTTGAATAATATTTGCAATTTTTATAATGCGCAAGTTTAAAACACAATGTTCACTTACTGTGAGAGTCAGTGGACCGCCCCCGGCTCCTTGAACTATGATGATCGTCTTCTGCATCATGTTGCCAGGAAGATTCTGAGCTATGTAACTCAGGCCTCCTAAAGAAAAATCATTAACAAAACGTAAAACCTTCTTGTTTTCTAAATCAAAATGTTAAAACTACAAAGGAAAAAAGGTTAACAGCCTTTTTTATTAAAATTCATTTATAGACGATCAGCTGTAAAGCAATTTATAAATTAATAGTAAATGCGTTAATTGAGTAAGTAATTGCCTATTTCGTCAGTTATTGTGCGCGACATACGTTTATCAGGCACAGAATTAAATAAAAATAATGCTGTTGTGAGATTAACAAACCGATACGAAAGTCCTACCTTATTTATTTTAACTAAATTATTATACTGGCTTAATCCCCGCGATATAATGCCATAAACGCTGTTGGCTCGCTGAATGGCTTTACTTACTTTCATAATATATTTCGACTTATGTAATTTATTTAATGTCGATATACGAAAAATAAGGAATACAGTAACTTCATTCATTATAACATCGGTTTAAATTCTATTAATTTAATAACGCCTTCCAGATAAAAATATTTAGTGCTTGTTTTTTTTTTACCTTGAGACGAGCTCGGTGTTGCTATTATTTGCATTGGTTGCTGCATAAATTGTGTTGTTTGTTGTTTTTCTGAAAAAAGAACGTCAAATTTAAATAAACTATGAGCGAGACCTATGTGCGAGCTGTTGAGCGTATATTGTACCGTGCTTCTAGTATTACGAAATATTATATATCAAGTATTATTATAAATTCTTAAAGAAACCTAATAATATATCCATGTTTACCTTATGTTATTACACCTTAAATACTCTAGACACTACTAGACTATGTATACTCATAGTCAGAAGAGTTCATCGTAATTTCATGGTACGCGAGGATTCAATCCTCGCTGGATACCTATGAAATTGTTAATTACAGTTTTAAGTGCTGTTTTGCCACTTGCCCAGCGCTTAAAGTATGTTCATTTACTTTAACTTTTTAACTGAACCACAGAATGTCTAGTTATAACTGGAACCCGATAACGTCACATACACTACCTTATATAGATAACAGTCCAAGAAAGATATGACCATTGTCTTCTTAGTTGGTGTTCTTAAACATTTTAGTAATCTAAATTAAAATAATTACTTAATTATCAAAGATCTTGCGTCCTCCGATAGATATATTTTGATATAACCGTCTCACATTTATACCAGATTAAAAATATTAATGTTCTCCAGACCGAATTTCGTTTACGGCGGCCAGTGTCAACTGAGACTAGCTATCCACGCAAAACTGAATTATATTGTCCGAGTGTATACGCAAGCACATGTGCACTCTCTATTCTTTCGCTCTCATAGTCGGATAGAAAGAAAATACGATATGACCGGAGAGAGAACAGGCGCAGGACTAACTGCTTTACGAGGTTTCGGAGGCACAGTGGTGAAACACCGCCAACTTCCTAACATCGAGCGGCTACTGAGAAGTTATTGACTATATTTGCATCTGAGCTACTTATTTCTTGACAGAAACCATCAATAACTGATTTTGGCTCGACCCGGAATTCGAATCCGGGACCTCACGATCAGCAATCGCGTTTATAACCACTAGACCAACTAGGCAGTCAAAAACGAGGCTGTTTAAAAATATACCAGTATTAAGACCATTATACTATAAAACAGACCAAGTGGATGAAGCACAAGTTTTTTTTTTTATAGAATAAGGGTGACAAACGAGCAAACCCCTAATGGTAAGTGACTGCTGTGACCCACAGACATCTACATTTATCCTCGATTAAGCATCTAAATGCAGATGTGTATCCATACAAAATATATACGTAATATTAGTTGACCGTGCTACGGCCGACACTCGGCTCGGACCCGGCACGGTCTAGCGTGAGTCATCCTTTACGCTGGTATTCCCCGGTCGAGCTGACCCATTCGTGCTACAATGATAATATGGCTGCAGCGTGGCTCTACCACGTAAAAAAAACGTAATTGATCTTAAAACTAAAGGTTAGGTAATGAAACTCACCTTGCAGAATAAGCTGACCAGATTGCGACGCAAGAATATTCTGGACGTCCATAGGTTGCACTTGAAGCATTGGTTGCTGAACTTGCAGAGTCTGTGGTTGCTGCATCTACAGATTCAAATTTAATCTTTAAAATTTATCGTCTTTAACATACCTAGAATATTCTTACATTCAATTATTTAATTAAACACTATACTACATTTAACTTATATTATATTATTGAACAAAAATAAAATAAAAATCCGTTGTTTGTTTCCTTTCTGTTAATAATATATTCGTCGCAGTACGAAGGCATAGTATGCCTTATAGTACCAAGGTAGGAATTTGAAAGTAGACTTACAATAGTTTTTAAAATTTTACAATAGTCAAAGACCCAGAAACATGAAAATAATCTCAGTGATTATTACCTGAATTGCGGAACCCTGCATTTGCAGAGATGACTGCTGAACCTGCATAGGCGGCTGTTGGACATGTAGGTTTGGTTGCTGCACTTGCAGAGCCGGTTGTTGCACCTAAGGGTTACTCTATTAAATATACGAATAAACATGCCTATTTTTAATATTTGAATTTTATTCATTCATTACAACATTTCGGAAGGCCACGGCTGCACAAAAGCGTCCCCATAGATTGGCTGTGTTTGGCAGAAAAAAGCGCTAGGAAGCGCTTGTAAGCAAAATGGCGATCGTACGCGGTAAGCGCTGTCAAATGGTATATAGCTATTTTCCTCTAGGACGCTAAGTTAGCTTTAACCGGGGAACATAACCTAATTTAAATATATGTTTGTAAAGTATTCATGTTATAAACTTACCAATCATGAATATTTAATAACATGTATAATATGTTTATTCATGTCATTATATATTACTTTAAACTAATTGCACAAAACAACTTATAAACTCTACTTCAAAACGAACTAAATAAATAAGCAAAATGGCGGAATGTGTCAGCGCTACTGAAGTTAGCAAACGTGTCCTGGCCGAATGTTTAGTTTCGCCATTTTGCTTTTTTTCTGCCAAACACAGCCATTGTCTCATATTAGAATACTTATCATAGTTGCCCCGCTTGGCGAGCGAGTAGTTTCCAACCGCAGTTTTTTTATTATTCTGATTTGTTACCAGGTGAGTTAGAGAACTGGTGACCCTTTTTACTGTGAAACGAGGCATTCCATTTTAGTCCTCACGGGTAACAACGCATCTGCATTTTGATTTGTAATTGAGGATAGATGCAGAAGTCTATGGGCCACAGCAACCACTTACCATCAGGTGGACTGTGTGCTCGTTTGTCACCATATCCTATAAAAAAATGATGATGCGGCTGCTTTTACAGTTTCGCTTCCTTTTGTGGCCTCCTACAACCCATAAAATGATATGGGGTTCTCATTTATACTTCGTTCCTCCCTATATGGCGTCATTTCGCTTAAGCCATGTGTAAAATACTCAGTCCAACTACGAGCAGCTGCAACAAATGTGCAAGTGTGACAAAGCAAATTCTCTAGAATAAAGAGGGAAATGTATAACTGTGGACTTCTGCGTACGGAGTTCTAGGAACAATTTTATTTTAGTTTAATATTCTATTGAAATCTCTTATCACAACATTGATATGTCTAGTTAGAATAAAGCTTGTAGTATTAAACTACCAACCTGCAGCAATGGCTCCTGAACTATGACAGATCCACTATCAGAGGTCCCCGCGACTAACACTGAAGGCGGGATCACTTCCGCAGGTTCTGGTTTTGGTGGTAACTATTAATAATAATAAATATTTTATTATTTAAAAAAATGAGTCTATCTTACATATTCTTATCTATTCTACATTTATATAAGTGGTTCTAATATAAACTACAAAACTAACACAAATAGAATTATATACTTAGCAAATGTCTACAGTTAAGCCGTAGTAACAACCGACTTGAAAACCCAATAAAACACATAATTTTAAGGTCTAAATAAATTTGTTAAGCCTGGTCTATACTCTATAGTGTGACAAGTAATGTGATGTTCGCTGCAAGATTCGTTTGGTTTAGAAGAAATTGCAAGTATTGTACAAGCGATTAGTTATATTGACTTTAACAAAAATCAAAGAGAATCGTTATTCAAACTCCAATCGCAACGACATGTGCGTTTTAGTAATTATACGTAACGTTTAGTACGTTGCATTCAGTACTGCGGTTCTATATTATCTTTCTGATGCAAACCAAAGTAATCTTCCAGAAAATAAATTCGATATTCGCAGTGTGTTGGAAATTTGTAATAGATTTAATACGATAATAAAATACAATAAGAATTCAAATCCAGTCTTACGTTGGTTGTTGCTCATAAGTGTAAAAGCTATATAATACATATGAATCAGGATCAACTGTGGCGTTTTATAACTAAATGTGGTTTTAGATATTATATCCTAGATAACAATAAGTGACTCGACTAACTAATCTACGAACCAATTAAAAATAAATGACAACACAAAAATTTGTAAATATTTAAACACCTTGGCGCGGAGCGCTCCGGCTAGTATGACTCCAGTGGGCCGCTAAAGCATGAACAGACATGGAAAAATTATAAACATTATGTTAGTGCCAAAATTGCAGATGTATCACTACCTCCCCCTTGATAAATGTGAACTAAGAAATATACGAAGTAAATGTCGTAACGATAATAGTATCTTTTGAGAAGTAATAGCCGATTTACACTTCGACAAGTACAGTAGCGAGTTTAGTCTCAGGGCAGTTGATAGTAAACGGTTAAATAGACAGTAGCGTTCAAATGTCTACGTAGCGAGTTTAGTTAAAATAAATACAATTTTATATTTTGGTGGTCGAACACGAATACGTTGCATCCTGTCAAATTATGCACTGAATTACACTCGCTCGTTCACACGAGCGGCGAGTTTAGTTACGGGTGGCGGGAGACGCGCGGGAGGGCAAAACTTTAAACTTTACTCGCCGAAAAATAGACCGGCCTGCTATCCCATTCAACTTAATTGTTAACTTGCTACTTAACTCACTAATTGCCGTTCAATAGAGATTTTCCACTTAAATCGCTTATTTGCAGAAGATTTGCAAGTTAACTCGCCACTGTCTAAGTGTAAATCGACCTTAAGGATAACAAACGAACTTAGTCCGCCTTATGGTATGTGGCTACCGCAGTCCATAGACGCCTGCAGCCAACTTCAAACAAAGAAGGTAACATATGCGTTGTCACCTCTGAAGACTAAGATGGAATGCCGCACAGCTTATGGCTCTCATACCCATTTGACCAGAACAGAAAAGTGTAAGCACTTCTATTTGACTACAGAATTAGCTACCCAGACAGACTCAAAAGAGTCATACCACCTAGTAGACCTAGAGTAAGAATCCAAATACAAATGCATTGTCGGTGCTTATATGGGATACATCGTTTCTAGTAAAAACGATCGTCGGTTCTCTACACTCACTATACGAAGCATAGCAACGTCATGCTATTTACGCTACATCATATTTTACGCTGGTATTCTGTGCAAGTGTGATCCTTCCCCGGTCGAGCTGACCCATTCGTGCTGCAGACATAATATACCGAATCGTGGCTCTTACAGAATATATAAATCCCCCGGGTAATTTTATTTTTGCTTTTATGGTCATACCAAGGTCCTATACTCGCTGTTAGTGTCCAATTTGGTCTTTCCCTCTATTTACTATGACTTCTTTTGAGCTCGTGGCTTTTCGGATCGAAATTGAGGAACTCTGGTACTAAGAATGTTTTATGAAACGCTCAGTTCCTGTGCTATCATGTCACTCTACTCAATATATAGTAGCCCTATAAACTACCATGTGGTGGCGGTGAAAAATAATCCATCACACTATAAAAAGCAGCATAAGAGGCATCTTCTTCTTCTTCACCAACCCACTAAAGTCCACAGTAAGACAAGGACCTCTTTACATTGTTTTTAGGATATTCCTTAATCGGCACGCTTGGAGCCGGATAGGCAATAGCAGATCCAGACATCTAACACCTTTTGCCACTACTACCCACCGCCGGTCTGAGTATTTTACGTGTGGCGTTATCTAAGGCATATTACATGCCAATTACGCTCAATATATTTCAAGACATCATCACTCCATCTAGCAGGGGGTGGATATTAGCTAAGAAGCTTTTACAGCTTAGTCTCAGCAATAAATGGACTGACTGACTGACTTGGACTCGGCTAGAATAAATCAGCGCCATCTCTTAAATACTCATGAACTACTACGGAACCAGTGTTTCCACTTATGTTTATGGTTTTACCCTAGAACCTATAGAAATACTCCATAAGGGTCACAGCCATTAGCAATTAATTAGCATTAGTGCCACCCGACACCCGACCCTCACCGCCTCGGCGCCAGGCGTCCACTCATAGTCGACAGGTGGACCACGGGTGGACGCCGCGTTGGTCACCAGTGAACCTCGCGTGGTCATCGAGTGGACCTCGCGTCGTCAACGAGTGGACCTCGCGTCGTCAACGGAGACGAGTGACTCTTAAATCATAAATAAATTATACTTCCGAACTTCTTCTATAAGTTTTTCTTTGTTCATTTTAAAAACAAACAACAATGCGTCCGACACATTCGAAAGGAAGACTCGAAAGAAGGGTTGGTGGAAAGTGCCACATCGCACGCGCGTGAACCTCGCGTTGCGCTTTACGCGAGGCAAGCATGCCAACAGCGAGCTATTATCGAATGGTCCACTCACAGTCCGCGCGTGGACACCTCGCGAGCGAGGCGATCCGGTGATGGTACGGAGTTGATGTAGTGAGCGCAGTCCAAGTCCATACGAAGAATACGAACTGCTCAAGGCGAGGCGGTGAGGGTCGGGTGGCTCTAATGAACTGTGACCTTTAATTATCGTAAAAAATAGCTTTATTTATTGTACCTAATTTACAATATTTTAAAGAACAACATCATTGCAAGTTTTGAATACCATTTCACGATTTAAAATCTTGAATTTTGTGATGAAGAAGACGTTCTCATTTTCAAATTATAATAACACTTAGTCTCATACGAATAATGATTATGTATCTAAGTAAAATATTACACCATTATTCCAATATACAGAATGAAAAACTTTTTCATTCTACACTTTTCTATCTCTTTTGACCGTATCCTCCCTTCGATAAATCTTTAAAAAGAATTAAATTGGGTGTGTATAAAAACAGGGTTACCTGAAGTACGATTTTACCCCAAATTATCCAAAACCCTGTCAACTTGAAGAAACGCCTAAAGTCCTACCTATATTAGTAGATTTACCTTAAAATAGTGCAAAATATCTAAAGTGGAAACTCTGCACGGACGCACAGCACGCATATAATGCGGCCAAATTAAAACTACGCGACTTACTTAACTACTAAGTAGACATGGCCGGTTAATCAATTGTAAACGGTAATTAAAATATTTATTAAAAATTTTAAAATATACATAATACATAGTTTTCGTAATACCGAAAAAAAAAATATTGCATCCTTTTTTGTCACCTTTTTATCGGAATTAGTACACTTTTTTACTTTTTCGCGTATGAAATCAAGACAACACGAATCTCGCATTGGTGCGTAACATATTCGCACCAAGGAGTCGGTGACATTTTGTTTGTTCAATAGGCCGGTCCAAACGCAGTAGTATAATAAGTCTGTGTTTGGACTTGAATGGTAATGGCCTAAATTCTCAAATACGTAATACTATGAATAAATCGAGTTACTCTGTGACTCACTGATAAATATTAGCTCTGGGTTTAATTGATAGCTGTAATTTTTACTTACCAAATCTTCTTCGTCTTCTAAAGCTGATGCAGCGAGTGCAGCATATAAGTTGGCCGCCGTCTTGGAAACACTCTCTTGGGGCAAGTTGTTCTACAAACAAAAAAATATTCAATATATTGCGTTCTTTCTCCAGACAGAAAAAACGTATTTCGTAACAGTTAAAGTTTAAAAGAGTTTAAAAATTACGTCGGATAAACGAACATTAATTACATCCAACGAAAAATTTGAGGTGATCTCATTTCATTGGTGTCCGTGAAATAAATATTTTATGAATGGAACAATCGTTTTTTGTGTCTTATCGTGTTCTGTGAGATACTAAGTCAATATTATTTTTTTTTTACATTACAGATTACATTTTTACACACAATTAAGTAATATTCTATTTAAATAAAATATATGTCAGTAAAAGAACTAAAAACTGATATATACAGCGCCAAGAACTCTGGATGTGTCGAGATGATGACCTAAATGACTGAATGAATGGCTTTGCTTAGAAATACTTATTAACAAATAATACGTATTAACGCTTACAAATAAAATGTTAACTAATGTTAACTTAACAAGAAACTAAAATGCCATTTTTCTTTGGTACTTGACAGTTGATAAAAATTATTGACCTGAGTGCCTTGTAACCTACTTAAAACTATTTACGTATAGTATTTAGAATTTGTTTAACACGTCCAATTATTATAGCTAAAAACCACTCAATGAGCTATAAAAAGGGCTATGCTTAGAGTATTTCTTCGCGATTTCAGCATACCGAATCAGTAATCTAAAGGGTAATAGGTAGGCTTAGGCTTTGTATGTAGCTTTTTGAGATTCATTGTAGCATTTTGAGAACATTAAAGCGTGGTGCCCTGCCCAGTAAGATTTGGTTAGGAGTTATACGTCAAAAGTACAACATTCACACACGCATACACAGTCTCGGAATTAAATATTATTTCGTTTTTTTTTTTGTGTTGTAGTAGTTTTACTTGGTAGAGCCATGCTGCGGTTATATTAGTAGTATAGTTGTAGCACGAATGGGTCGGCTCGACCGGGGAAGGACCACGCTCTCACAGAATACCAGCGTCAAATAGTAACTTAATGCTGCTGTGTTTCATATGGTGACTGTAGAGAACCGGAGACCCTATTTAGTGGAAACGAGGTATTCCACCTAAGTCCTCACGGATGACAACGCATCTGCATTTTGATTCGTAATCGAGGATAGATGTAGATGTCTATGGGCCACAGCAACCACTTACCATCAGGTGGTCTGTGTGCTCGTTTGTCATCCTATTCTATAAAAAAAAGTTATAAACAACGAAATGATGGTATACCTCAAGTTTTTCTTCAAGCTTCGATTTTTTGGCCGGCGGTTCAGTGTAGGAGTGGTCAGTGACCACCGTGTCGACAATCTGTTCCTTATCGCTTTTAACAGTCTGGATAACACTCTGGTGTACAATTTGACCTCCTTGGACAACACCTTGACCTTCGTTCTTGATCTGAACGAACTGTCCCTGCTCGTTCTTAAACTGGACCATCGAGCCCTGCAACTGTTCGTTTTTAAGTTGTATTATCTGTCCTTGATCATTCTTTATTTGGATTAGCTGGCCTTGTTCGTTCTTAATTTGGAAGTATGGGCTTCCTTGCGACATTAATCCGGGTTCGGGGTTGATCTGAATGATTGGATTCTGTTCGGATTTCACCTGAACTATTTGCCCAGTTTCCGTGATTTGGATTGTCGGAGCGTTCAATTGTGGGGTCATTTGGACGACTTGAACTGGTGGGTTAGATTTCTTTTCTAGTAGATCTGCTAACATTTTGTTTTGTGCAGTTTTCTGTGAAAAAGAAAAGATTTATAAGAAATGACCAATTACAAAGCTATACAATTACAAGCGTAAAATTAATATAAATGCTTACAATAGTCAATTGAGATTGCTCGTCTATTTGAATTTGCACAGGTTCCTCTTTCGGTACTGAAAAAGAAATAGCACTCAATGTATACGACAAATTATTACGGTATTTGTTATGACTGTTTTTATTTAATTAGACAAATAAGTCACCTAAAAGTTCTTCAGCCGTGCTGATGATAACCTGTGAAAAAAAATGCATATAGAGTGCATATTGCTGCGTAGCACCAATGACTATTAATTGTGTAAAACGGAACGACACTTGAATAAACGAATAATTACCTTGTCTCCTTGTAATGTTGGCGTGTTACTGGCAACACCACCTGGCGTAATGGTCGTACACTTTATGAGTGATTCTGGATCGACATCCATTCCCTGAAATTTTAAAATTGAATCATATCATTATTTAAAAGGACATCTAAATTTCCAGCATCCGTAACATTTGCGTTCAAAAACTCACAAGTTATATATAGCCGTTGTACAGGAACGGGAGGCAGGTGCTCTTCAATGATTGATTTATTGAACGTTTGCTGGTTATATTTAAATCGTCTTATTGCTAACAGTGTGTATCAGGTAATAATCAAAATTTAAAACAGACAGATCTTATAACTAATTGCACGACGTGCTGTGATTGGTTGCCAACAATGACGAGCTCTGATTCGTAGATAAAAGTTTGGTGTTCCGGTGCGTCGGCGGCGACGGCGTTAGCAGTCGCGCCAACATGCCGGCCGGCTTGGAAGCTCCAGCTTCCAATGATGTATCTAAGTTGCCGCTTGATTGGAGATGCCGCAGGCTGCATTCATGTCGTCGTCCTCTGCTGATGATACAGGCAGAGGGCAGATTTTCGAGAACGCTCGTTGTACAGGACCCGTAGCAGTTTGGATGGTGGCGACACGCGACACGCCGTCCTTTCCGGGGAAAATATGGGTAACTCTGCCCATACGCCATTTAAGGGGTGGTAAATTGTCCTCCTCCAATAACGACAAGCGTGTTTAATGTTATGTCTTGTCTGTTCGCCTTCCACTTCGTTCTTGTCTGAAGTTCAGCAACATACTCTTGTGACCAGCGTTTCCAGAAGTACTGTTTTATTTGTTCCACTCTTTGAAACCGTGTCAAGCTGTGAGTCCGTGCTTCGGTGAGGTCTCTGCAGGCTGGTGCAGTGAGTGGCCGGCCGATAAGAAAATGAGCTGAGCTTAGTGGATGAAGATCATGTGGATCTGAGGACATAGGACTTATAGGACGGGAGTTTAGGACTGCTTCGATCTGTGCCAACACAGTGCTGAACTCCTCGTACGTCAAGTTAGCGGTACCCACGACACGGTTAAGGTGAAACTTACAGGATTTTCCTCCTGCTTCCCACAATCCCCCAAAATGAGGAGCATAAGGGGGAATAAATTTAAATTCAATATTTTCAGTTGATAATTTATCAATTATTTGCTTTGAATTTCGCTCCAACATTTTGTTAATCTCTTTCATGGCTCCAATTAAAGTTCTACCGTTATCTGAGAAAATTTGAGCTGGTTTACCTCGTCGTGAGATAAATCTTTTAAGTGCTAATATAAATTCTTGAGCAGCTAACTTACTGACTAGTTCTAGATGAATGGCCCGGGTAACAAAACGAACGAACATGCAAATATAGCCCTTTTCCAATTTAGCTCCCCTTCCCTTGCGATTCAGTACGTTTATGGGACCCGCATAATCCACTCCACATCGAATGAATGGGAAACCAGGTTCTATTCGTTCAGACGGAAGGTTGCCCATGATTGGCGTTAGGGTTTTACCTTTCATTCGAGTGCAGCGGACACATTGGTGTACAACCTTTCTAGCTAGGTTTCTACCCCCTAACGGCCACCAATTCTCACGCACGGTGGCCAATAGCAGCTGGGGACCAGCATGAAGAAGCTCTTTGTGTTGATGTTGAAACAACAATTGTGTGAAGTTGTGTTTACTTGATAAAAGTATCGGGTGCTTCTTGTCGTAATTAAAGTCAGGCGAGTTACTAAGACGGCCACCTGCTCTAATTATATCCCTTTCATCTAGAAATATATTAAGCCTAAAAATCGAACCTGAAGTGTTTAAAGGTAGTTATGTTTTAACTTATCATATTCCATCGGAAACGATTCGCGTTGAGCAAGACGCGCTAACGGCTGTAATGAGTCATTCAATTCGTCTACTGATAACGGCCCCTCTGTACGATCTTTCTTTAGTGTGCGTAAGTTATGTATGTATCGCAACAGGTAAGCGCCGGCGCGCACGATACGCTGATAAGAACGAAACCTTTCAAAATTAATAATTTTATTCTTCGTTACATCACAAACCATAACCGTTGTCGTTTGTGATTTTAGTTCTGGTAAGTCTGAGTGTGTAGTCGAAGATTGCTGTGACCATGACGACTCAGAATTCTTGAAGAACTCAGGTCCGCTCCACCACAGATTACTGTCAATGAGTCCATCAAGACTAAGACCGCGCGAGACCAGATCCGCTGGGATATTTTTGGTTCCTACATGTAACCATAACGCATTACTTGTTATTTCATTAATCTCCACTATTCTATTTTGAAAGAATGTTTTTAACGAATGTGGTGACATACGTAGCCATCCAAGGACAATAGTTGAGTCTGTCCAAAAGTAAATTTTGTGAAAATTAACACGCAATGACTCGATAATTTTCCTATATAATCGTGCGCCTATTAAAGCCCCGCACAGTTCTAGTCGGGGTATGCCGACTGGTTTAATTGGTGCAACTTTACTCTTTGCACACAATAATCTAACAGTCACCGATGAGTCATCAGAGTAGGTGCGAACATATGCGCATGCACCATACGCACTCTGCGACGCGTCTGTGAATACGTGTAATTCTATAAACTGTGTATGTGCACTCATAACATGACTTAGGTTATGCAAATATTGAAGTGTCAATAAATTTTTCCCAGGATAACGCAACATCACTGGGAACGGGATCATCCCAATTTATCTTACACAACCACACTTTTTGCATCAATATTTTAGCTACTACGACAGCCGGTGTTAAAATTCCTAGAGGATCGTATATTTGTGCGATTATCGACAACATTGTACGTTTATTTAGTAAATTCGGTCTAACTACTCGTGTGGTAAAATGAAGTTCATCACTTTTATTATACCAACCCACTCCTAAAGTCTTAGTTTGGCAATGTTCGCCTAATGACAAGTCTTTAGATATGTCGTAGTCACTGATATCAACGTTAAACAACCACTTACGCAACGGTAAACAAGCAGAGTTTAAAGTAATTTCGTAACTTCTCACAGGTATCGAGTAAGCTATTTAAATCATTGTCAACTAGGATGACGTCATCAACGAAAAAATCCTCTCGGATTACTCTCGCAACCTGCTGATCCTTACATTCCAGCGCAAGCTGAAGTAAACATCTCATACTAAGGCATGGCGCAGACGCGGTGCCATACGTCACGGTGTTTAGGCGATATACACATATTGGGTCCGACGGAAGTTTACGCCATAATATCAATTGTAAATCTCGTTGATCTGGTTGTACAAGAAAATTCCGAAACATTTTCTCAACGTCCGAACAACCCATATATTTATATTGCCTAAAGCGTAGTAAAATGCTAAAAATGTCATTCTGAAGTGGTGGACCAATATGTTGAATATCGTTCAACGACTTACCGGACGACGTCGCTGCGCTTGCATCGAAAACAGTGCGCAGTTTAGTCGTACTGCTATTTTCATTAATAACGTGTGTGATGCGGCAAAAAATAGTGGGGTGACTCATAAGTTTCAACGCAACTCATATGACCGAGCCTTTCATACTCTCCCATAAAATCTACTTATTTTTCCCTAAATTGTGGCAAACGAGCGAATTTTCGTTCTAACAACAACAAACGTTTTTCAGCCGCTGTGTAACTGTCTCAGAGCACATCAGCTGATTCCTTTAAAGGAATGCGTTCCATACGTTTTGTCGTTTTGACAAAAATATCTTCGCACGCACGTTCGTCAGCACTAAGGATGTTTTTATTAACGTTATTGTTTATCTCTTCGAGTTCCCAAAACAATTTCAACTGTGTGTCAATTGTTTGGGAGAGATTACATTGCATACTCTTAATGAGAAGTGGGTTATTATGTAAAGGTCCAGACATTATCCAACCCAATTTTGTATTTTGTTAATAAGGTCCTTTATTCAACTTAATTTTGCCATCACACAATAATTCCCAGAACTTATCCGCGCCTATCAGTATATCGATGTCTGACGGTAAGTGAAAGTTTTTATTGACACTAAATGTGGTTAATTGATTTGTAATGCACGGCATCACTATAAAATCAATGTTTATACAAAACGAATTTAACCTTGAACGTAATTTTATTTTACAAATGTGGGTGGACTGCGAAATTGTTTGTCCTACCCCAGCAACGTGATAAGTGGACTGTATTAACGGTTGCATTTAATGTTTCACATAACGATTTCTTTATGAAACAATGTTGACTACCATTATCAAGCAGAATGCGTACAGTGAGATATTTGTTGTTATAATCTGCTATGTCCACTAACGCTGTGGACAGCAAAACGTTGAGTAATAACGAATATTTCTGATTACTGTTTTGCGATTCTGAATGGTTAGCCGTAACGTGTAATGATGACGAGACAGTGGAGACGTAAGCGGTGACCGGCTGTGCTGATGCACCCGACCCGCTCACCTGTGATGCGCCGTCTACCTGCCCATCAATGTGTAGCAAACTGTTGTGCCTTTTATCACACAACCTACATGGCCCAAACTTGCATTCGTCAAGTGAGTGGGTTGCGCGTAAACAATTGATGCACAGCTGATGCGTTTTAACTATCTTATTCCTTTCTTGGATAGACGAATTAAGAAACCTTGAACTGGATATAAATCACGTGATTACCATGACACATCACACACACGTACACGGCTTTGTTTTAGTTTCGTATTACCCTTATTGTTATTGTTAGTAACGTTCGTAGCAACATGAGTATGTGTATATTGCTTCTTAAAGCGCGTTTGTTCGCCGCCTTTGTTCTCGTGGGATTTGTTATGGTTCACTTTTATCATTTCTAAAACGTCGGCGCGGTCCTTGAGAAATTTAAGTAAGTCATCCAGTTTCAAAGCTGACCTTGATTCAATTAACGTACTAGCTGTACCTTGAAAATCTTCCCATTCGCGTTCAGTGGCCTGATCTAATTTGGAAACGACCATGTAAATGATTAAAGTGTCCCATGAATCTGTTGGTTCACCTAACGTTTTAAGGGCACGCAAATTTCTCAAAACAATATCTATTAAGTTCCTAATCTGGGAAGCGGACTCTTTATTTAACGATGGAATTTTAAATAATGCCTTCACATGATTATGAACCAATAGTCGCGGATTATTAAATCTATTCTCTAATAGCTCCCATGCGTGAGAATAGTTATTAGCCGTAAATTCTAATGCACCTATGACGTGTGCCGCGGTACCGGACAATGACGATTTTAAATAATGAAATTTTTGAACAGGACCTAAATTATCGCGATCATGAATCATACTAACGTAAGAATTTTTAAACTCTAGCCAGCAATCGTATGAACCGTCAAAGGAAGGTATTTTAATATCGGGTAACTTTATGCCTATCGGCTTACATGTTGAAACACTAGACTTGTCAGATACTTCCTTTCTCAATAAAAGTTTTGCAGAAGCTACAGCACGATAAAATTGATCTTGGAAACGATCTCTCTCTTCCAGCTGTTTTACAAGATCGAGATCTTCCGCTACTTCTTCTTCAATTTTAGACGTATTCACCATACATTTCTATCAAACTCGAAGTACTCTCAACACGTAAATTTAATTCTAATGACTGTTGATCAGTCAAGGGTAAAGTGAACTTTTTAACATATTTTTCAAACAGAGTTAATCGACCTTTTAAAACTCCTCTTTTCTTAATTAAATCTGACAATTTAGGCTCACTCATTTTGGGAATTAAGGAAATCAAGAGTACTTACAGTTGCAAATTTGTAGATGCGTGCGAACCAAGGTGGGTGCCGTTGCGCAGGTAGGTACCGCCACTTGAGCACTGGAAATGGAATATCAGCAAGAAATCAACACCTATCGAAGGATGAGATGGGGAAACGGACGGGAAGTTCAGACCTGCCACTCCTGTCTTTCAATGCCTTAACGTTGCAGCTCTTTGCTTGATACGTGAATCTCCTCTTCGTATTTTGATGCGACGAATCTTCGGAGATTTCAAGCTTGAACTCCTTATTCGGCTCGATAGGACCACTTTATGTACAGGAACGGGAGGCAGGTGCTCTTTAATGATTGATTTATTGAACGTTTGCTGGTTATATTTAAATCGTCTTATTGCTAACAGTGTGTATCAGACAGATCAGACAGATCAGACAGATCTTATAACTAATTGCACGACGTGCTGTGATTGGTTGTCAACAATGACAAGCTCTGATTCGTAGATAAAAGTTTGGTGTTCCGGTGCGTCGCTAGACGGCGTTAGCAGTCGCGCCAACAGCCGTGTTTAAAAATATAAGCTAACATTTATAATCGTTTTCAGTTTCCCTGTCGTGAGTCAGAATTCATCGATTCTTTAATGAAATTCATGAATAATAAGCTTAAAATATATAAATCTTTATGCTAACCGTTACACTTGGCTGAACAACTACACCACTAGAGGTTGAAGGCCCCACGACCCTTTGTTGACTCTGTTGGCGCTGCGCTACCTATACATAGAATATCAGGATGAAATATTATTCATAATAACAAACTATCACATATTTAATTTAAAAAAAGAATATATTATAAATTCCTGGTTCTGCACAAAATCTATCTCTAGCAGTTGCAAAAGGCCATATTATTCTATCGCGATTAATATAGTTTCAGTTTTTAATAAGTACTTATTAAGTGAAGTGTGTGTGAGTGAAACAACAATATGAATATCAAAAATAATATGCCAATTTTAAATAAAATTAAAGTATGAAGAAAACAAAATGTTTTGAAAGTAGTTAAACACCCATTAATACAAAGAAATTCTTAAGCATACTTTAGATAACAAATAAAAATATCAAACAAGATTATTTCTTAGATTTAAATTAAGAACAAAATATGGGACCATTTATAGTAAGTTCATTGTATAATGATAAGTTAGTGGCCAGAACGAAAATAAACTACAATCGTCCATATACGTCTAACCTTCATTGCATCATCGTATACATCTTGTTCAAATCGGTGTGGGGATCGCCAACTTTTTCTCTGATTAACAAAAATCGCCTACACGCGACACATAATGTCCGACAGATGGCGGTAAACCATAGAATACTACAATACATACATTATATATATATATATAACGACTCCGTGGCGCAGTGGCTTAGCAATGAGTGGCTGCGCTGGGGGTCACGGGTTCGAATCCCGCACGGAACAAGTATTTGTATGGTCTACAAATAGTTTTTCCGGGTCTGGATGTTTATCCTTGTACAATTTATGTTTGTAAACTGCCCCCACGATACAAGAGAAAATCTTAGTGTAGGGGTAACGTTTATAAAAAAATAGAACGTCATCAACATCATTTCCAAATTTCGCATGCAAATTATTTAGAAATTTCCAAATTGCACCCTATTTACAAATAAATATGTAATAAAATTTTTACGATTTTTTCAATAATGATCTTGAACATTAATTAAAAGTCTAAAATGTGTAAATTTATTCGGTCTGTCAACACAGTGAATCGGGTTTGGCGACGCCAAGCCTCGTACAAAATAAAGTTCACAGCCATTCTATTTTGTATTATAGTATTCTATGGGTACGACCATTCAAAAACTTTTTAATACTACCATTTATCCGTTGAATTCTCCATACTCATGGCGTTCAAATAATGCGAGTCAATTAGAAATAAAATGTTTTTGTCATCTATGTTCAGCGGTAGACTTGTTAAAACTGTATGTTTGATGCGATATTATATAAATTATTGTTATTACGAATATATGCCTTATTAGAAACTTTAAAGGGATCATTATGGAGCTATAAGTATATTTTTATTTCAATAATTTTATATTTAGATTTTCCACTTCAAAATTACAAAACTCGATAAGAAAATAAAATGTAAACTAAAATCACTTTCGTAACTGACAAAACTGTAGCTTATAAACTTAACGTACTAGATTTAGTTTTTTTGCCTACAATTTACTTTGTCTTAGACATTTTTGCAATCATTTCATTTTAGCAAACATAAATACATTTTCATTTTAGTGGTTAAGTGTTTATTAAAAATATTTATAAAACAATAACGATAATCAAATATAAAAAAAAATCATGCTCACAACTAAGCTCGGACCACTACGCATGCGGAATGTCGCCAATTGAAAACCATTATTTTTAATTTGTTAGTTGACTACTTTATTTTTCATGCCAACTACACTATATTTAAAAATATGCAACTGTTTGGTTTTTTAAACAACGCATGCATTTCTTATTATCTTGTTTTAAAATAACTATTAAAAAATTACCATGACCTCCTGCGCTTCTTTTATGGTAATCAATATCTCGTCTAAATAAATTTAGTTTAAAAACTTCTGGAAATGGTGGAAATCGATTTAAGTTTTTGCAAGAAAAATTGTAAAAGTAAATTTACATACAAACTAAATACAACATATTATAAGAAAACAAACTATTATTAAGAAATAAAACTCTTCTAGACCAAACCGTACCACACACTAACGATGTTACGCAATACAAAACGTAATTTATTGATAGGAACGATGAATTGTCAGGAACGAAGAGTCTTTTTCACGCCAGGTCCCTTAGCCACGCCTCACAGTCTCCGCTCGCGAAAATTGCCATATTATGCTGCCAAATTCCATACACTATATTTTAGTTCATTTATTTTACACGGAACTTCTTTAGTGAAATATACTCTAGTTAATAATAAACTAGTTTTTGTATTAAGACGGTTAGGGTTTATTTAACAATTATTTAATGAAACATCTCAGAAACGTCACGAAATCGCACAAATAAAAGTATAAGTGAAGAGGACATCGTCTTATTCACCTTTTGACTACTGACGCGTGCAATAATAACACATTCTCATAATCTGTATGAATATAAACGCTTCCAACTTTATTCAATTTAGCGTCATATAATCTCACATATGCAAGACTTAAATACTCTGATGATGAAGAGAAGCTAATCCACCTGATAAGCGTGGCAGTTTCGGCAAATCTTCCAAAAATGGGAAAAAAACTTTTATTGTCCATGGATTGATACGGACTAACAAGAGGAGAATACAAATTATTATTTTTTTAAGATAAACGCGGAATAAAGAAGCCCAAAGGATTTTTTTGACAAATGTTCTATTAAAGACACTTAAAAAATGTTTAAAAACTTCTTTATAGAATAGAGGAACTTACGAAAGTTATTTATTCTATAGTAGCGATCTGCCCCGGCTTCGCACTAAATCATTGTCTCCGGTGAGATGTTATCTCGCTTAAATTAGCATCTTGAACGATCGGCTATCGCCAGCAACATAGGTACATCGAATTCAAATCGCTTAGGTTATTTTTCCGCGAAGAACTAAACTACTGGTACGAATTATTTTTTTCGACTGAATCGATAAATATCAACATGATCTGATCTAGCTTGAATAAAAATTTCATAAGTTATATACCCTAACATTCCTCAATAATCAGTTTGTCTGTGAGTGACCACTGAACAAAAATACCTATAGTAGGTAGTTTCTGAGATTAGCACGAACTTACATACAGACGAACGCAACGGGGGAAATTAATTTATAATATGTATAAATTTTTGAAAGACACAAACATGTTTAAAAAAATATAAACTAGCAAAAAAATTACAAAATAATATTGTTTCAACTACTTTTCAAGACGTGAGACAGCGATGAATGCCTATAAAAAAACAACAAATTGGTATGATCAAGCAGTTAGTGGTGTTAGTATGCACTTACTTGCGGCGGCTGTAGGGCGGGGCTTACTTTGTGCGCGAGCAAGTGCTTGATGAGCGAGGTGTTGGAGGGCGCGGCGTCCAGCGCTTGCGCCAGCTGCGCGTGCGCGTGCGCCTGCACCTGCGCCTGCGGCACCGGTGCCGCCGCTGGCTGCACGGGCTGCTACCGATTAACAAATACACGCTTTTCACCGAAAACTTCTATGTAAATTACTATAATACGTGCCAAATCGATTGAGAGAAACGGACAATGACCTCAGATATGAGCCGAGTGTCAAAAGGCGTAACCTACAAAATTTCAATTTAGATGTGATAACAATATTTAAATATCGATTTTATTGACACTTCTAGGTCAGCACATATGTTTTGTTTTCTTGTTTCTTAAATAATATTCTCTGTGGTTCCTATAAACATCGTAAAATCTTACAGTACATCGCGAAAAATGTGATATATTTTATATTTCAATTTAAGCAAGTAACGCAGCAATTCATTTAATAACAGTTTCATATTTAAAAAAATATTTGAAGCAATATAATCACCAATTGAGCTTTTGCAAATTCATCCCTCAAAAATAAACAAAACGCGCGTTACGTCAGTTCGTTCTAAAAGAAACGTGACAATGGCAGCCAGAGATGCGTAACTTTTTTTGGCCGGTCCGCACGCACCGAATAAAAATAAAGTTCTTATATAATATTGAAAATAATGTTTTATCTTTTGAATAAGTACGTAATTATTTGGTGTCGTTATAACTCGAGTCTTTATATGTATTATAAATTAATGCTTTTTGTTGTTAAATGAATAATGTACTTTATAACAATAGATGATTTTTCTTCTACAGCGATCTTTTACATAACTTTTTAGTAATAGTTAATAAATATACATTATATCAATCATTATAAAAATATAAAAATATCATTATAAATAAAGAAAGTAATACATATAAAAAGTGCCTATATATTGAAGGTTTGTAGCCCCTGGATAAACGACCGAAAGGTCATTGTCCGTTTTTCTCAGACGATTTGGCACGTACTATAGACAGACACCTCAGAACGAAAACTGTGTCACAGCTGTGATCAAATTCAAACAAAGTCACCATTGTAGGCGTAAACTATTTTAATTTTAATAAATATCACAAATTGTTATGAGATCAAAAATTAGTATTAAACGTAATTTCGAAATTAAGTTAATAATAATTTAGTTATGAAATTGATTTAATCAAGCTGGCACGGTAAATATGCCACTCAGTTGTACTCGTATTTTTATTTACCACAGTTACTGTTTTTAGTTAAATACGAAATAAAGTTGCCATAACCACGAACGTTGTTTTCAACAATCTAACACTGATTTTATTTAATGTGACTAAGAAAACGCTATCGTTATTTATGTAAGTACTTTGTCACTTTATAATACATAAATACATGTATTATTAAATTTTAAGGCGTCGATAAATGTTAAGCACCAGGGTAAGAGCAAAACACCCCAACACGAGTATATTAAATTAATCTCTGGGGATGTTTCACCACTAATTTATAAAAAACTTTATTGAGAAATAAATATATTTTAAGTATAATTTTTTAACTTTAGTTTCACTAACTTTTACTGTATTTCGTTCCTGCTGCGTGCGCATGTCTGTTACTAAAATTACAATTATGTTATCCTCCCAACAACCAGAGAAGTCCATGTCCAGAAATCAATTTTTACAAGTTAATAATGAAGAAGAGAAGAATTAATGCACAGTTATATGTAAATTTTATATTACATTATATTTCAAATCCTTAAATTCATCATTTTTGATACACGCCATGCACTCTGCTAACAATGGCGACAATTCCGGCAGGTATATTGATTTTTATATACTGAAACTAAATTAAACAAAACACTGAATGTAGGCCACAACACCGGTTTGATGGTTAAGGCGTGTATAAAGGCTTACTAAAAATAAGTTCTTATTAAGATATTATTTAGATATATAATATCTTAAGAACAATTTTATGTGGTATTTGTGGTACATAAAAAATTATATATCATCAGTTTTAAGGGACACCAAAGTGTTCATTTAGTTATTGATTTTATATTAAACGTGTTTACCTAAAAAGTATTATTATATTCAAGAATGTTCCCATACCTGAGGGGGCGGGGCTACAGTTTTTACTTCGACGACTGCTGGTTTGTTGGTTAGTTGCGCTTTCAATATTGGTGAAGATGGTCCTGTTTGAAAAGGATTTATTAGAATAGATATAATAGTAGGACTGCCAGTATAATTACGGGCTGTGAGGCATTTCATCTTAGTCCTCAAAGCCATTCATCCTTACACTTTTAAGAGTCCTCAGAGTCCATCTGTAGCCTTTTTTGTATGAATTGGCCTGCAGGTGTCCATGGACTGTAGCTGCCACATACCATCAGGTGGACTGCAAATTCGTTTTTCACTTCAAATTTATAAAAAAGGACATGCTGAAATTCTTAAGAATTGATAAAATACCATCTCGATTTTTCCGGCCGGGATCGAACCCGTGTTGCTCGCGTACTGCAAAAAATACGAGCGTTTAGTCCCTGATCAACACGGCTCTAGTGAACTATGTGAAACCCATGCATCGCCTGCCTGGCCCAACGCATTAACATTTTTCAAGCAAAATCAAATACATTACAAGGTGTAATATTATAACGATGTGAGCTGAACCCATAGCTAAGCATTAAAAAAACATGTGCGATTTATCGAGTTCGTCGTCGTTACAATGTACGGGAGCGTGTGCGTGCGCACTAGTTTCTTACTGCTTTTACTGAGTCTATGCCTTTCTCTTACGATGTAACGTGAGACAGCACGGTTAACTGCGCCCACCGACAATTCGAACCGTTGACGAGCGGTCTCTTTATGTACAACCTACGCATTTCATTACCAATTATTACTTTGAAAACCGCTTCGCTGGGTTTCTTTCTGGTTATTCGAAGGAATTTTTTTCCTGAGCCAGTGATAAAAGTAAAAAAACGACTTTAAGTAAATATAACAATTCAATATTTAATACAAATTGTTCTATTCTATTTTAGTAGTGGGTGATTCCTTTATCTGTAGTAGTTCTTGTACAATAAGTAATACATGGTGCTTGTTTAATAAAAGATGGTTCGAAGGACCAGAATGATATTTAGAAGCCAGCAAACACATGATAATAAATGGCCATGCCTGTTTACTTTAAAAAAGGTCATCTAAATGAAACAGATTTGACGACTCTATGGCGCAGTGGCTTAGCAATGAGTGGCTGCGCTGGGGGTCGCGGGTTCGAATCCCGTACGGAACAAGTATTTGTATGGCCTACAAATAGTTGTTCCGGGTCTGGATGTTTGTCCTTGTGCAATTTATGTTTGTAAACTGTCCCTACGATACAAGAGAAAATCTTAGTGTAGGGGTAACGTTTTTAAAAAAAAAATAAAAAATAAAGATATAATATTAAAAGCATTCTAAATAGAGAACATTCAGTCTTTTCTTAACGCACATAGATATTCAATTGTTGAAATAATGTAAATAAAGTAATAAGAAGTTAGGATACGAACCTACTGGAGGATTACTTCTGTTCAGCGAGTTTCTTGAGCGTATTCCAATATACACTTGTTGAGTTTCACCTGAAGCTGTAGTGACCGTGTTCGGACCAACAGTGCCTCCAAAAATAGTTCTGAAATCATTTCAGAGTTACAAACTTCTGTTACTTAAATAATTTTTATATAGGGATTTTTTTTAATAACTTAGTAACACAAAGAAATTATTTCCGTTGAAAAAAAAATAATTACAAAAGTTTAAAAACATATTTTGTTTTAGTTAGAACTTGATGATGTATCGGGATTAGTCTGTCGAAAAAGCCAGAAAGTTTTGTCGTTATTGTTAGAGTACATTTTATAAATATTGTAATGTAAATTTACAATATTTGTAAAATGTACTCTAAGAAATATTGTAAATTTACAGTACAAAAGTATTGAGGGTAAATCTAAATCAGAATTACAGCTTCATGAAATGGCCAATTTTTGCAACCTTGAGCTTTTTGTCGTTTTTAGTATAGCTAATAGGCTGCCTACGAGGCGCGCTCAATGTATTCTCGGTATGGATACTTTAGAAAAAAATTAAACTATCAAACTTTTTTTTAAATTTTCAATACAGTCTCCCATGACATCAATACATTTACTTGTTCGTGAAAAAAGCTTTTCTATTCCCTTGAAAAAATATTTTTCGTCTTGGATAATTTCAAGTAGACTTGTCAGCAAATCGCTTTCCCTGAAGGTCTTTTTTAAGTTTAGGAAAACGAAGTAGTCACTAGGGACTAGATCTGAGCTGTATATTAGGTGGTTAATTTCCTCAAACCCGCAGTCTCGTACAACAGCCTTGTGAACCGGTGTCATTAAGAAGCAGCACTCCCTTGTTCAGCTTTCCTCTTCTCTTTTCTTTTAATGCTTCTCACAAACGGCGTAAAGTGGCTGAATATATGTCTACGTTAACGGTTTCACCTTTTCTCAAAACACTGTGGCCATTTTAATTTCCTGGGGGGGGGGGCTGTTTTGCCATTGCATAGACTCCTGTTTACTCTCAGGGTCGTAGTGGTGAGCCCACGTTTCAACTTCAACTCACGCCGCCTGCTATTAAAGCGCAATGCAGAGCATTCGCGACACCCATCTTGCACTAACTCTTAAACTTGCTAAAATACATTGATGGTGGCATAATCTGTTGCTTGCAATCCATGTTTATTACGCCGAGTTGAAAAACAAATTGTAAGTATTGTCAACTTTTTACCTATTACTAACTTTGTTAATTGAATAACACAAAACCAGGTCAGAGTGTATTTTGATAATAGTTATGTTTATCTATGATTATAATGTCTAAGATAACCTAATCTATTACAAAATTTGACTTGCAATACCTATCAGTGTTTTGTTGTTTTGTATAAACGACGGTTAAATATAAGTCATACTTACATCAAAATGATTGTCACAGAAGTATAGTCTAATTTTGGCAAACAATGTATTTGGGCATCTTTTTTCAGTTATAACCAAGTATATTTCATATTTAAATCAGTTGGTGCTTGAATACATTACTTCCCCGACGTTCTTATGCTCGTATTTTTGCATTCCGGAACAACACACCAATGATAAAGATAATAACTCATTATTAAACATATAAAAATATCTTATTCCTTTGCAAAATCTGCAAAATCCAGGGCAGTGACGTCACGAGCTTAAAGATTAGTTTTAATTTAAAGTTGATGATGTATATGCGGGAAAATTTAAAAAGATAAATTGAAAGTAATTTTTTAAGGCACTAGCAGTCTTTAAAAACTTATATAAAAATTATAGTGGTTCATATCACTCTAGCACACTACTTGAAAAAGGGTATATACCCTACACAAGTTTTTCAATTTTTCACATTTTATTCTGTAGCCGCTGCGATTGGCTCACCCGACGCTTTCGCTGCCTATTATGAATTCACTTGACCACTTCTGTACGGTTGACATTGAAGGTGCAGAGTCTTGGTAAACGGCCACCATTTATCCGTGTATATATTTTTCTTAGATTTTCCTTGTGTAGTGAGGAATTTAATCACCGCACGGTGTTCGATTTGTTTTTTTTTCAAAATTGTCGAGTTAGTCTTTCTCGTCGTCTATGACTGAAGGTTACATAAGAATTACCCACATTATTAGCAAATCATCCTAATATCGAGAATACATTGAGCGCCTCTCGTATGAAAATTAATTCATGAAAGGTATCATAACTCAAGTATTATAAAAATCTACAGTAAACTTCATCATCATCAACTTTCTAAGCTAGATGTAGCTTTCTTTCTGTTCCTATAAATATAGTATGCCTACAGTAAGTTACATTATTAATATAATAATACAAATACTTACCTAACAAGCCTCGGAAAGTGTGCGGGGGCAATAACACCCTTCCTTCCCATCTTCGTACAAAAAGCAAGGTACTGTCGATACACTTCAGCAGCATCGCAGGCACTGTTGTCGTTCGATGGTAAAGGTTCGTACGTCGATCGTAGCCACGCTTGAGCGAAATGTTCGTTTTCCTGTACATTAATTTACTAATTATTTTCTATAATGACCCTAGTCCGACAAATGTACGAATATATAGTTAGAATTATTACAGCTCATCACAAGTCCACTGCTGAAAATATGCCTTCCCCAAAAAATGCCACAAAACACGACCCTGAGCCACCTTCATGTTTTTTACCAAGTCGTCATTCTATCTACATTACCCCACTGCAATACAATACGTTTACAGGTAAGAGGCAGCCACTCGAGAACCTTTCTTCCCCATCGGTTGTCACTCTTGGAGCAATATGGCCGGCCCATTCACACTTCAGCTTATTGATCCGTTGGGCTACGTTGGTTACGTTATATGCTAAAATATGTATCAATATCGATTATAAGCCAATGATGATGACCAAGGGCCTCGCCAGCTGATGGCCTTGGGGGAAGGGGGCAAGTTCATACATAGAGGATGGAAAAATGTTTTTTAGAGTCTCTAGAGAGAGGGGGTGGGGCAGCTGCCCCTCCCTGCACCCGTTTGGCGATGCGCTTGATGATAATATTCGTAACAAGTGTATAAGTCTAATAGATTTTTAGTTATAAGTGGTGGAAAGCAAGAAATAATTTTTATAAAAATGCCGTTTTGCGTTGCAATTTTTACCGCACTTACAACACAATAGTAGCATTATGTTCATTCATGTTGACATTACTATACTGATTACTGCTATATGTACGTGGTGTATAAGTATGTGGTGTTAGTAAGAGGAAGAATGAAAGGAAAAATAATACGTTATGGTGGGATGATGAGATACGTACGGAAGTTGAAGCAAAGAAGAGAGCATGGCTAGATTTACTAGCAACAAAGGCTGGTAATTCTAGCGGTACGAATGATGATATTGAAAGAAAAAAGGCAGTCTTTAAACATCTTAATAAGAGAGTAAAAGAAGTAGTTGAAAGAAAAAAGCAAGAAAGAACGGATAAGAATGATAGAAGAATATCGGATAACTTCCAGGCAAATATTAAAATGTTCTGGAAAACTCGTAAGAACTGCCAGGGGACATTCAAAACAGCCTATGATGAATGTTATAAGAGACGAGAATGGCTATATTCTGAAAGATGAAGTTTTGAGTTTAAAGAGATGGAAGGAATATTTTGAAAGCGTGTTTATGAGTGAGGAGACAACGTGTGTACTAAGTGAAGTAGAAACTCCGAAAGAAGAGGAAAGAGGTAGCGAGATAAGTATAGATGAAATAATGAAAGCAATGAAAAGCATGAAAGCAGGTAAGGCTGCCGGATATGATAGAGTTTCACTCGAAATGCTAAGGGCTGGAGAGGAAGTCGTGGCAGGCCTGCTGCACACCTTGTTTAATTTATGCTGGGAACTGAAGCGGGTACCGGTAGACTGGTGCAAAGCCGTGATAGTCCCAGTATATAAAGGAAAAGGGTCGCAGCAGGACTGTAAAAACTACCGTGGCATCAGCCTTCTTAACATTGTAGGAAAACTGTATGCTAAGGTACTGATTGAAAGGGTCATGAAAGAAACTGATGGAAAAATTTGGGATGTGCAAGCGGGATTCAGAAAGGGAATGGGATGTACAGATCAAGTCTTTTACATGCGCATGATCGCGGAGAAGTTTTTGGCCAAAAACCAAAAGGTTTTTTGTGCGTTCATGGACTTGGAAAAGGCCTATGACAGAGTGGATAGGGATGTGCTATGGCAAACACTGAACTCATTTGGGTTGAGCGCTGGCTTGATACAGGCATTGGAGTCTCTTTATAGGGACTCTAGTGCTTGTGTTAGGATCAACGGGGTCTACTCGGACTGGTTTGACATCCATAAAGGTGTCAGACAGGGCTGTGTGGCTTCCCCGTGGCTGTTCAACCTATTTATGGACAGGTGTTTGCAAAATTTGAAAGTTGAAGAATGCGGATTAAGAATGGGTTACCCAGAGTTAACCGTCAAATGCCTTTTGTACGCCGATGATCAAGTTATCCTTGCGTCGTCGGCGGCCGAGTTGCAAATGATGGTTACATTAATGAACAGATCATTAAAAGAAAGGGGTATGAAAGTGAACGCAAGTAAGACGAAGGTTATGGTTTTTGAAAGAGAAGAAAGCAAAACGATTTGTGAAATAAGAATAGAAGGGGAGTTGATCGAGCAAGTAGATGAGTTTGTATATTTGGGCTGCATATTGCTGTGTTGGTCCCTACTTTAACGTATGGTAGTGAAAGTTGGGTGTGGCAGAAGAAGCACGAGAGTAGAATCAACGCAGTAGAAATGCGGTCCTTAAGGAGTATGTTAGGGCTGAATCTGAACAACAGGGTAAGAAATTGTGTAATAAGAGAAGAGTGTGGTTTGCAAGATGATGTTGTGACCAGGATTAAGAAAGGAATGCTTCGGTGGTTTGGTCATGTGAAAAGAATGAATGAGGAAAGAGTGACAAAGAAAATTTATGTTGCAGAAGTGAATGGCAGAGTCGGAAAGGGACGTCCTAGGCGAAAATTTATGGACCAAATTGGCGATTTATTGAAAACGGGCCAAATTAGGAGTACCCTTAACCGACGAGCATGTATGCGTAGGTGTATGGATGTGAAGGAGGCGAGAGAGGTGTGTCGCGATCGTGCCAAATGGAAGTCTGTAGTCTCTGCCTACCCCTCTGGGTGACAGGCGTGAGTGAGTGTTTATGTTATGTTATGTATTACTGCTATATAAATTCAAGAAGTAGCACCCTCATAAACCATGACACGCCAAAATTATGAAATATTGTACTTTTTTATAATAAATATATTAAAGATATTAATAGTTAATCTGCAACCATCCGCTTAATTGAATACAATGATGTGTCTTACCTAGATTGAAGAGTACCCCCCGCCCTCTCAATTGCGTGCACTAATCCCGTCACCACTAATCCCAACACCACTACTCCCACGGCACCATTACTCCCAACACCACTATTCCCGGCACCATTACTCCCAACACCGCCAGTCCCAGCACCACTACTCCCAACACCACTATTCCCGGCACCATTACTCCCAACACCACTATTCCAGGAAAGACACACCATCGATGATAATACGACACGTGTTTCGCCTTTACATGAAGCTTCTTCAGGTGATGTTAGACTCTACGGCGGCTGACCGCTAAGATTACTTAGCCACTTAATAATATATACCATAATAAATATATGTTAATATTAATATAATACCTGTACAGTTCTTTGCTGCATATGCGATTGTTGTATGGAGGAGACTGGAGTCATCTGTGGTGTGACCTGCGTAGTGGGCTGTGCCACTGGAGGAGCTGGAGATTCAGCGGCTGGCTTCGCTGGCGAGTTCTGCATGATGATGGCTCATATTTGAACTAAGATATTTCTTTAATTTCTCAACAATGGGATAAGAATATTTCCCTTCCAATTTAAACACTGTTTCATCAAATCAATAGGACAACAGAATTTTTATGTAATGGTTACTGGTTTTATAATACTTTACAATTTAATATTTTTATGTCATTCGGTTAAAATGAATGAAACAACTATATCGACCAAATTGGAGATTTATTGAAAACGGGCCAAATTAGGAGTACCCTTAACCGACGAGCATGTATGCGAAGGTGTATGGATGTGAAGGAGGCGAGGTAGGTGTGTCAGGATCTTGCCAAATGCAAGTCTGTAGTCTCTGCCTACCCCTCTGGGTGACAGGCGTGAGTGTTTATGTGAGTGGAATTCGTAATGTCTTTGGTGTATAGTGACGGCGTAAGAGAATCCACTCTCACATTTCATTCCGTAGGTATCGTAAGAGCCGACAGAGAGAAACGAAATAGGATCTGGGCATCAGCACTCCCACAATCCCACATTGTTATTCATAAATTTGTGATGTAGTAATACCCTTGTACTATTTAGTTGATACGTGATTTTAATAAATTAACTTAACATGCAAATGTGTCATAAACACTATGGTTACGCGGAAACGATTCGTGTATTTTAATTTTATTCGAGGGTATATTGCCAAGCGCTTACCCATCCTTTGACCTAATATCCCTTCCGTAAACACTGAAACGGGAAATGGGAGGAGTCTAGAAGGTGACGCGATTCTTTCGACCAATGAGAAGCGCGCCCGGCCCTCGTGCGGCCTCTTCCTTCGCACCACTGGCCTGGATCGCATCTCTGGGGCGCCCCAGAAGAACCCACCTCACATCGCATCACCGCAGCGGAAGCGTCGTCCGCCATCACCAGAATCACAACCCGGTAAGTGTTTTCCCGTAATAATGCTCCGACTTGAGCATTTTGTTTATTAGTTAACCCGTCCCATTTTATTTCTCCTAATGTGCTCAAGTAGAATCCCCTCCTAACCTTGGCAAGCAATTTGGAAAGATTTGGAAGAGCGAGTGCATTGTCTAAGGTGCCGCGTGTCACATTCGCCGTTTTGTCGAGGCATAAGAAGCCATCGCGTATACAGTCCACTTAGTATAATATCTCGCATAATAGGGTAAAGGCTCAACCTGGGAATCGAACTCGGGAACCCTTAGGCCCACCGCCCAACCACACTATGTGTGGACTAGGAAGGAACGCCTAAAAGCATTAAGTCCCTCTTTGTAAGCTATTTAATATGGATTAATAACACAAAGTATGCACGTAAGTAAATAAAAAAAGGCCCATACATTAATGACGGGTTGTGGTGGTGCGTGGTCGCTGGCTTGGCTGGTGGCGGGCCCGCTCACCGTTTCCACCACGCGCATAAGAATGCACGCGCGGGGCCCGTAGCTCTGCGCCTGCACATACCATACACAACCATTAATTTAAGAAAAATGTGGTAACGTAACGTGGTAGAGTCATGCTGCAGCCATATTATGATTATATCACGAATGGGACGGCTCGACTAGAGAATACCAGTGTAAAATAGCAGCTTAAAATGATATATTTCGTATGGTGCGTGTAGTGAACCGGAGACCCTTTTTATTGGAAACGAGGCATTCCATCTCAGTCCTCAGGGGTGACAATGCATCACCATTTTGATTCTTAATCGAGAATAAATGTAGATTTCTATGGGTCTCAGCATCCACTTACCATCAGGTGGATTGTGTGCTCGCTTGTCACCCTCATACTATAAAAAACACATAAAACAATAAAATAAAACAATGGCTGCGTTCTGAAGAGTGTGTGCAGGAATTAGCCAACTTAATTTGTCCCGCCCTCTTCCTGCACTGGTCAAAACCAAACACGTTCGGAATGTCTCTACATTGTTGTTGTTGACATTACACGCAAACTAACCAATTTACATTAAAAAAAAGTAAAGTTACAGCCTATATACGTCCTACTGCTGGGCACAGGCGTCCCCTCACTTCCGAGAGGGTTTTAGGGCAATCTACATCATCATTCATAATACGTAAAGCAAAAGAGTTACGCAATTTTAATTTTAATTATTATTTTAGGTTAGTTATTATTAACCAGTGGCTTTAAAAAGTTAGCTAATAAAGAAATAAAATATATAAAGCCAAAAATCTAATTTCATAGTAAACGATAAATCATCAACAATCTCTTAATGTATTATATAAGACAATAGGAAATATTCAATTTAGTTATCGACTCTTATAAAATACTCAAATTACATACATACCTCAACCGTAACAAGCGACACAAGGGTGTGTATAAGCCCGGGTACACGGGCAACGGCCTCTGAAGCGCGATCTCCCAGAGATGTCAGTGCGTACACACATTCCAACGTGCAAACTAACACCATTATATCGCGTAATGTCAAAAGTGAGCAAACATCACTATACACCTGTAAAAAATATTTTTACATAATATATAATAATAGTGAAATGTAGAAGCGGTGTAAGAATATCCACTATCCCATATTATCCTATAGGCGTCATTAAGAAGGGTCATGAAAAGCGAAAGGGGTATGAAAGTGAACGCAAGTAAGACGAAGGTAATGAAAAAAGAAAAAAGGTATGGTTTTTGAAAGAGAAGAAAGTAAAACGATTTGTGAAATAAGAATAGAAGGGGAGTTGATCGAGCAAGTAGTTGAGTTTGTATACTGGGGCTGCGTATTTAGCAGGGATGGGAGATATGATAAGGATGTAGAACGACGAGTGAATGCGGGAAATAGAGCAAATGGGGCCCGACACTCTATTGTGAAGAGTCAAAATGTGTCAAAAAAGGCACGTATGGCAATTCACAATGCTGTGTTGGTCCCTACTTTAACGTATGGTAGTGAAAGTTGGGCGTGGCAGAAGAAGCACGAGAGTAGAATCAACGCAGTAGAAATGCGGTCGTTAAGGAGTATGTTAGGGCTGAATCTGAACGACAGGGTAAGAAATTGTGTAATAAGAGAAGAGTGTGGTTTGCAAGATGATGTTTTGATCAGGATTAAGAAAGGAATGCTTCGGTGGTTTGGTCATGTGGAAAGAATGAATGAGGAAAGAGTGACAAAGAAAATTTATGGTGCAGAAGTGAATGGCAGAGTCGGAAAGGGACGTCCTAGGCGAAAATTTATCGACCAAATTGAAAATTTATTGAAAACGGGCCAAATTAGGAGTACCCTTAACCGACGAGCATGTATGCGTAGGTGTATGGATGTGAAGGAGGCGAAAGAGGTGTGTCAGGATCGTGCCAAATGGAAGTCTGTAGTCTCTGCCTACCCCTCTGGGTGACAGGCGTGAGTGTTTATGTATTTTATGTAAGAAGGGTCACACACCAGGAGATGAACAGAAGTGTCTTCTCATTAACAACTAAAGAAAAAAAATACGTGTGGCACTAGGGGACCGCCGCGGTAAAACTATTGCATAGCATTTTTATCAACTTATGAAATTGTAATTATTTATTTATCTTATTTATGCAGTATTTTTTTTCTTCGATATTAATTCAAGTTTTTTCTTTGATATTCATTCAAGTAACACTTTTTGAGCGTGGTGACCGATAAGAAAACAATTTTTTTTCTTTTATTGAATAGATGAGAAGTTAATATTGTTTAAAATATTTTTAGTATCTTACAATACATGTAGGTTATTCAGGAATTTTTATCATTGAAACTATAGGTTTATGGTAATTAACGGGTTCTTCCGACAAATGATAACTTTCTATAAAGTCTGTGTTTATTAAATACTCTAAATTCACGAAAGTTGCTAGCATGACGAAGACTCATATAAATCCAAAGAATATGCCTTACAATAGTCAACCAACTAAGAAATACATTTTGACAGCTGTCAGTTATTGCGCCAAGCATGCCAACTAAAAAATGGGAACGTACAATATTCGATTCTTAAAAAAATCGATATAGATTATTTAGAGTTGGTAATTATTTAGTTTGGTTTGAATTATACCAAAAAAAATTAATAACGGATAACCTAAAAACACAAGATTTATCAGTTTCTTCGTATTTGTTGTTACTGCTTATTTCTAAAGGTAAAGTTATAAAAATTTAAGATTGAAACTAGATTAAAAATAAATTTATTCAATCGCTTTTAGTACAACTAGTTGAGCTGTCGTTGTTAATATTAATTCTTATTTGATTTTCAATAATGCAGTCAAAATTAATGTCTCTTTCAAAGTCATCCATAATCAATTTTTTTGTTTTTTCTACCACTTTTGCTCAATCAACCTTTGTGACACGGGCACATATGCTTCAGTGAATATAGAAGAAACAGTCCAAAAAGTTAAAGCCGAGTTACAAAATATTTTTATACATCAGATGTAAATCATATGGTAGAGACGCTGACTAATAATATCCTTCAGTTACACGATGCAGTGCCCCGATACGCAATGTTAAAGTCAAGCGCCCCCAGCACCGTAGATGGACAGTGACATCCGCAAAGCAATGGCAAAACGTGATCGGGCTTTTGTAAGATTTAAAAACAATCGCTGTGATGCCAATTGGAATGTATATAAGGCTACCAGAAACAGATGCAATCCGATGGTTCGAGCTGCAAAACGCCGACATAACCATAAGAATATTAAAAGCTCTTCGCCAGCCGGCACTTGGAAGTTTCTTAATTCCCTTGGGTTAGGTAGACAAAAGAATTGCCCTGATATGGGGTCAATATCTCTCAATGATCAATAAGCACTTCTCCTCGGCAACTAAAGTCGATAATTCCATTAAACATAGAACTATTTCTCTTATCTCGTTACTTCCCAAAATCGACGCAAACTACTTTGTTTTTTCTCCAGTAACTGATGAAGATGTTTGTAATATTATTATAAATCAAGTATGGGGATAATCGTAGAAATATGATTATCCCCATACTTGAAAACATTCTACCAACCATTACCCACATCAATTTTTCTTTTTCTACTGGGGTTTTTCCATCTTTTCGGCGTAAAGCATTTATCCTTCCACTTCCCAAATTAAATAATCCCAGTTCTGTTAACCATTTTCGACCAATTTCTATACTTCCCTTTCTTTCAAAGATTTTAGAATCAGCTGCATACAAACAATTATCCAGCTACATTCATAAAAATAATCTTCTTAGTCCCTTACAATCAGGTTTTCGTCCTGGGCATAGTACAACCACTGCTCTCCTTAAAGTTCTTGATGATGTACGAGAAGGTATGGAGGAATCAAAATTAACGGTTCTCGTATTAATTGAATCATGACATTCTTCTTGCTATCTGTAAATACATGGGTTTCTCTTAGTCAGTTTTGGATTGGTTATCAACTTATCTTCGTGGTCGCCAACAAAGAGTTAAAGTCAACCAACAGTCTTTCTCTGATTGGTCTGATCTTACTACTTGCGTTCCACAAGGCGGAATTCTTTCTCCTTTATTATTTTCTATTTTTATAAATCTCATAACTGTAAATTTCAAATGCTCCTACCATCTGTATGCTGACGATTTACAGCTGTACGCTCGGATTGATCCAGCAGAGGTTAACTCCGCGATCGAAATTTTAAATCTAGATCTTGAGGCCATCTGTGACTGGTGCAGAAATTATGGAATTCTTGTCAATCCTGTTAAATGTCAAGCGATAATTCTCGGTAGTCCTCGCCGTATCTGCGTATAGCTAAATTAGACTTTAATTCACTGGAGCCTATCGTTTATAATAGCACAATTATTCCCCTTAGTCATGTAGTAAAAAGACCTTCGGTTAATGATTGATGCTAATTTATGTTGGCAATCTCAGGTGGCTGAAATAAGGCGGAGAGTGACAATCACCCTGCGTGGCCTTTATCGTTTCAAGAATTTCCTTTCCTTTTGTTGGTGCGAGCGCTTGTTTTACCAGTCATTGATTATGCTGATGTGTGTTACTCTGATGTGAGTCAAGTACTTCTGTGCAAATTGTATCGTTTATTAAATAATTGCATCCGTTTTATTTTTGGCCTTCGTAAATACGATCATGTCGCACGCTTTTTTCAATCATATATGATCCATGCACTCCCCAATACCTGAAATGTAAGTTTCAGTATTTGGGCTCTTCTCACGATCGTAACCTGCGATCTTCCGAGGGAACTACATTATGTGTTATTCCTCGCCGTACCAAATTTATGTCTCAGTCTTTCGCCGCTGAGGCTATAAGGCTATGGGATAAATTACCCCCTCATATCAGAAAACCGACTTCTGTTGCTACCTTTAAGAAGATGGTGCTAACTGGAACTAACTTTCATATTTAATTGTTTCTGCTTATATGTGACTTGACATTTTAAATTATTTAAATTGTTTTAGTATAATATGTTCGTATGTAAGTATACTTAAAATGTATGTATCATGTACTATTTAAACATTATGTATGTAATGTATCATATATTACTTAGGTTAATTGTAGTTGTGTATATCTATTTTTGTATTTACACTTATGGTATGTGTATTTTTATATTTACATTCACGTATAAATTATCCTCATATTTTATGGCACCTGCTAAATTTCTCTGCTTAGCTCGTGGTTGACTGGTAGAGAATGCCTAAAGGCATTAAGTCCGCCAATTGTACATTTTAAGTGCAATAAAGTTTTTAAATAAATAAATAAAAAATAAGAAGACAAAAACAAAATCACAAACTTACGCACAGTAAGCTCCCGAAATGTCGGGAGATTGAAATTACGTAGTGGGTTTTGCGGTGCGGCATTGTGTATGAGTTTTTTGCCTACACAAGTTTACGTTGAGAATGTAAAAAAATAAACTTGTTTTTTTCCTGATTCATGTAATTCAAGTTATTTTAGAAATAAAAATTTAACTAAACAAATAATACATAAAAATATTATTAATGATTCGATTATTTGAATATTTTTGCTGATTATTCGCGTAACAATGAATTTTAATCATCCAAACACTATGATAAGTTACATAGCGACATATCATTGAAGCGACGTCAAGTACAAATGTTGATACCGGTTATTTTTTAATATTTTGCTTTGTTTGAAAGATTCGAATTTAAACTAGTGATAAAAAACTATACACGTTGTAATTAAATATAGATAACCTCATAATTCTTCGGATTTACGAAAAAGATTATTTTAAATCGTGGAGTACGCTTGTGCAAAATTATTGCGGATTGATTAATGTGAAACGTCAAAAGGTATTTCTTAGATTTGGTTGACTATAGTCTACACGCATACGTCTAGTCGCCACACACAAACACCGTGCCGAAGTCTGCCGAACTGAAACGACGTTAGACGATGTTAGATTTTGGGGCGCTAGGTTTTTTTCCTTACGGAATTTCTTGATTCGGTCGCCGCGCCCAAAGCTCGCGATAAAAGCTATACAATATCTTAAAAACGCTTAGCAAGCAGGTTGGCAACTTATAATTTTGAGTTGTTAGCAGAAAGATGCTACTGCACATCTCCTGCTTCAGCTTATTACGTTCTTGTGACATGTACAGGAGGATATGGGGAGTGGGTATTTTATACAACCAAAATATTTTAGGTTTACATTGAGATTATATGATAGAGCCAAGATTAGAATTATTCTGTTTGGTATACTGCCAGACAGTATACCAATATATAGTATGTCCCAAATCGAGTGAGAGAAACGGACAATGACCTCAGATATGAGCCGAGTATCAAAAGGCGTACCTTACAAAATCTCAATTTAGATGTGATAACAATATTTAAATATTGATACACTTGGTAGATTTTTTTTCCTTTGTTTCTTAAATAATATTCTCTGTGGTTCCTATAGTGGCGAAAAATGTGTTATATTTTATATTACAATATATGGTAAGCATAACAATTTCATACTAAAAAAATATTTGAAGCAATATAATCACCATATTGAGCTTTTGCAAATTTATCCCTTTAAAATAAACAAAACGCGCGTTACGTCAGTTCGTTCTAAAAGAAACGTGACAATGGCAGCCAGAGATGCGTAACTTTTTTTGGGCGACCCGCTGCACCGAATAAAAATAAAGTTCCTATATAATATTGAAAATAGTTTTATCTTTTGAATAAGTAAGTACTTATTCGGTGTCGTTATATACTCGAATCTTTATGTGTGTTATAAATTAATGCTTTTTATTGTTAAATGAATAAAGTACTTTATAACAATAGATGATTTTTCTTCTACAGCGATGTTTACATAACTTTTTAATAATAGTTAATAAATATATATTATATTGATCATTATAAAAAATCATTATAAATAAAGAAAGTACTACATATAAAATGTGCCTATATATTGAAGGTTTGTAAACCCCTGGTTAAACGACCGAAAGATCATTGTCCGTTTTTCTCAATCCATTTGGCACATACTATAGTACAGACTATTTTCGAATTATGTGTTTATATTATAGATACCATCAGACACAGTTCTTTTCACAATAACCACAGTTCCGCTTGACATACAAGGTGATTTATAGTAACTATCTAACAGACTTTGTCCACCAGTGAACCGTTACAGCGACAGCGAAAACTATAAAGTACTGACTGACCTTAGCTTCTAATGCTTTTAACAACGCATCCTCATTAGACTCGTTCTGGGCCAATTTGTTGAGCAGTTCCAATGCGGCGAGCACTCTAGCCCGATCTGGTGAAACCAAAGCTGACTGGATAGTTGACAGGATGTGCCGTGATATAAGACATGTCGCCGGGTCCTAGAAATAAAATAAATTAGTATAATATCCTATCCACAACATAAATATAAAAAGGGGCCAAGTTCGGTACGAACGACGTTCTGGGTTTCGTTGTCAGCTTCGTCGAAAAAAGCGAATCTGAGAGAGGATATAAAAGCTCCATAAATCTTACTTAAAATTAAAGTTTTATGACTACTAAAAGTATTAGTTAGCACCGCCACGTGCAAGAATATCCACTACCCAAAATCACCTCCTGGATGTCGTAAGAGGCGAAAGAAAAATAATAAAGCAAGGTATGAAGCAGAGTCTTCCTGATAACAACTCAACATATTAAAAAACTGCGGTTGCCAACCCTCTTGCATTAAGTGGCGACACCGCAAACAAGGGTTTCCCCCATAGATTTCCTCATGAGGGGATTCCTATAAGGCAATAGGGGGCAGTTGCGAAGCCTCCATAAAAGCCTAAAAGCCTGGCTTGCCTTTTCAATCTGCTCAATCAGTAATATCAACTAATAAAGTAACTCGTAAACTGTTTCAAACTATTTCATAATTTCCCGCGCGCTCTATATAAATAATTTGCTTTTTTTTAATTTTGTACATAGATTAGTTATACTTTGTTCATGTATAGTATTGTATGTAAATATCTTTTTCTTTCTCTCAAGCAAACCCAAACGGCTTTTTTCAAAGCCACCGAAGGTATGCAATTGCTGATATGTAATACAATCTATCTAGCAGTAGTATGCCTTCTGTGTGCTTTGTTAAACACGTCCTCTACAGCACTGAATATGAAACTGAAGAGTGGAGACAGAACAATATTAGTGTATTTTTATAAAACTTCTAAAAACAACAAAACCATAACTTGGGCTTGCCCTAGTTTGGAGCTCTAGCTTCGCCACTGATAGGGGGAGGCCTATGTTTATCAGCGAACTTTTAAAGGCTATAATGGTAGAAGTAGGAAATTTAACTTGACAGTTATTTATCAATGGATGTGGAAGAGGCGAGAAAGGTATGTCAGGATCGTGCTAAATGGAAGTCTGTAGTCTCTGCCTACCCCTCTGGGTGACAGGCGTGAGTGTTTATGTATGTATTATTTATTTATCAACAACCCAGTTTGTTTATGTAATAATATGTGGCTCTGGCTGGGATTGTCCCACAACCCGTCATAGGATATGATATTACAAGCCAGGTACTCTGACAAAGATCGCAAGGCCCAGTGTCTCACGGTTATCTAATATTAAACTGTTTTATTTTATAAAATGGTTTTTAGTACTGTGGTAAAAATACCATCTAATTTTTTTTTAATTTTAATGTTTGTTCTACTTTTCATTTGAGAGGTTTATGGAACATCACAAGTTTATGGTAACTCCACTAACAGTTTCTAGAAATCGGTGAACATTCATTAAAAAGATTATATGTATCGAAAAATAAAATATAACCTCCTCGTTTTTATGCTTCAGTTATAAAAATTATTTACCTTGATTATAAGTTCTGTTGAAACATTTCCAAGTGTATCCAAACCACTCTGGCGTAAAGTACCAACCCAGCAATTAGCGCAGAGTAAAAGAAACCTATAACAAATAAATAAAAGTGTGTTTCACAATGTGTTTGTCATGGCGTATTACACAACAATATTAATAAGACAGAGAAATTTCAAATTATTGCCCTCATTGAGACTTAAACAGATACGGAGAGACATAAATATCTTAAAGACAAAATAAAATATTTTATGCATTATTTAACTTTAAATAAATATAATAATTTGCCGTCAGTAAAAAAATGTGCCGCTAAAATTTGACTTCATCATCATCATCATTACAGCCTATCACAAGTCCACTGCCGAACATAAACCTCCCCCAAGTAATGCCATACCAGGTCGTCACTCCATCTAGTGGGGAGTTTATACACTACGCCAACCGGTACGAGGCTGCCACTCCAGAATCTTTCTTCCCCATCGGTTATCGGTTCTTCGAGCTATATGGCCGGCCCATTGCCACTTTAGCTTACTAATCCGTTGGGCTATGTCAGTCACTCAGGTTTTACTGCTGATATGCTCATTTCTCAGTTTATCACGCAGAGAAAGTTCGAGCATAGCCCTCTCCATAGCTCGCTGAGCGACCTTGAGCGTCCTCATACGGCCAGCAGTGAAGGACCATGTCTCAGATTCGTAAGTCATCACTGGCAACACTCACTGGTTGTAAAATCTAGTTTTCAGGTTTTGAGGTATACCTGACGAGAAGATGTGTCGTAATTACCCGAACGCTGCCCAGCCGATTTGACTGTTTTTTTTATAGAATAGGGTGACAAACGAGCACACAATCCACCTGATGGTAAGTGGTTGCTGTGGCCCATAGACATCTACATCTATCCTCGATTACAAATCAAAATGCAGATGCGTTGTCATTCGTGAGGACTTAGGTGGAATGCCTCATTTCCAGGAAAAAGGGTATCCGGTTCTCTACACTCACCATACGAAACACAGCAGCATTAAGCTACTATTTGACGCTGGTATTCTGTGAGAGCGTGGTCCTTCCCCGGTCGAGCCGACCCATTCGTGCTACAACTATACTACTAATACAACTGCAGCATGGCTCTACCACGTAAAATTATGTTTGGCCAGTTCTAAAAATCAATATATATTTAATTCTGCATTACGACTCATCTCATGTAAACAAAAGTATGAGAACATTTATTACGTAACTTAGAACGACTTAAAATGAAATAAATAGTCATATGAGAGAAGATAAAATTTTGATCATCTTATTAAATACCTTATAAGTGTATTATTTTTAGCCAAATGCTGAACATTCTCCTCGTGGAACGAGAGAGAGCGTACAATGGAAGCAATCTGCAACACTCGCTGAGTATAGACACAGGCCGCACCACCAGGTAATTCTGGTGCAAATAATTGGTTTTCTTCAGATGGCTCTGTCACCCAATCTTCTAGTATATCCTGTAGTTGAAACATCTTTACATTTCAATTAGCTTAACAGTACACACACGCACGAACGCACGCACGAACGCACGCACACACGTACGCACACTCACACACACACACGTACGCACACACGTACGCACACACCACGCACACACACACGCACGCGTACACGTACGCACACACCCACATACACACACGCACACACACACGTACGCATACACGTACATACACACGCACACACCACACGCGCACACGCACACACACGCACACACGCACGCACACGCACACACACACACACACACAAATTGGTTATTACCTTATAAAATAGTCATTCTAGAAATTGTTGCATAGTGGTTAATAGTGATCAAAAATATTCAAGTAGATAAGATCGAAACAATGCATATTTTTATTACTTTTAAATGTTATTACTTTGAATCTACTACTGTTTTAAAATAGGGTTTCTCTATGTGGACTACAACATCATATACTATAACAGAAGGACAGAAAAATAAGAATTGAGACATACCGAACCACTATCATCAATTATCTTCTCCAACTCTTCATCACCTCCCTCTTGCATAAGACAGTCAGTTAATGTGTTATGAGCTGCTAAAGCCTGAACCATAAGCTCTGGCTGTTCTATCCCAGGCTGCATGAACTTGCTTTCATCAGCTAACTCTTTAGCCCCACCGCCCCCGGCTCGCATCTGCCAAAATTCGTGAGGATATCGGCCCCGGGCCTCATAATACGAACGGCCAATTGTATCTCTAAGACTTGCTGAAAAAAATTCTATAATGACTAAAATTCAAATTTATTAAAATTCAAATTTCACTTAAATTTATATTTTATTATTAACATTAACTGAAAAACTTTAAAAATAAAAAAGTCAAATATCACATCTTAGATCTAAGTTTCATGTCTTTAAATGAAGATGTCAAAATATTTAACTATTTTATTTGTGAGAATTGAATTTACAAGAAACACTATCAAAGAAAAACGGAATTTCTATATACGATATAAATTATATAATAAACCATATGTTAAAGATTAGATATTTTACTTACAATGGTTGTAAACTCCAGCATGTGCCAACAAAAAATCCAATATATGTGGTGTTGTATTCAAAGGTAGTCGGTTAGAGTGATCCGCAGCTAGTACAGTACAAACATTGATGGCAAAATCTTGTTCATTGGGCATAGGTGACAGCAGAGACAACGAAAGTCGCTCTGACGGGCCGGCGATTCTTGTTCCCGTACGAAGCGCCTCACCCGACGCTATAAAAACAGTTTTATTATCTATACCATAGTCACTACATTGACAGATAGACATACTAGATAGACAGTATCCGACGGTCTGACAAAAGCTTTGTCCATCTTACTACTAATTAGTAAAATTTATTAGATAGTAGGTTTAAAAATTGGAATCTGTTTCAATAAGGAAGTGCCATTGAAAATATGTAAACCGCAGCTAAGGATTTTCTTTTGAATTTTTTGAATTCCTTTTTTTGTGCTATCAGACGGTTGACAAAAGCTTTGTCCATCTTACTACTAATTAGTAAAATTTATAGATATAGTTTTTTTCAAAAGGAAGTGCATTGAAATATGTAAACCGCAGCTAAGGATTTTCTTCCGTAGAGCTCTTCTTTAAATCTGAGACTACCAATAATCCACATATTATAACTAAAATAAAAGTAATAATAAGACATTAAAAATAAAAGTAAGATTTTACATTTTAAAAATATACTATCTTATAAATTAAAACTTAAATCTTAACAAGCTAGAAAAAATTTCAAAATTTTCTATAATATGATGTTGTGTTAAAGTGTGTTTAATCGCATTTTCAGATTTAAATTTTCAGGCTTAAATCTGGCCACACGATTTTTTATCAAAGCATCGAGTGCTGGCACGGGTGTATCAGTTAACATTGCAGATGCACTAAAGTATTATTAGCAAACGTAAAAATATTTTAAATTAATTGTAGAAATGGACGATAATTTTCCTTTTAAAATTTAGTTCAGGGGTGTGATTGACAAATTTTAAATAATTGTTAAACAAGTTTTAAATAATAGTATTTTACATTACATTTCCTGCCAATCAAATTATCACAAACAGCAAGGTTCACCTTTCCCTGCCATCCCACAGGTTTTGCTCGATCATCCCAGAGGTCACTTGATACAATATACTCGTCAAAAATTTAATGTTTGATTTTTAATTGGTATAATAAAGCTGTAAAAGTTAATTTTCAGTTTCTTTTTTTTTATTAACTCTAGATATTGGCCTTTTACAAAAAATGCCGACTAACATGTATAACTTCAAAAGATTTACCCATACTCATTACACAAACAGGCAGGTTGGTAAGTGGAGTGTCAAAAAATTTGTAACATCATTTGTACCAACCACCAAAGCCTCATTTGTTCATTAGTAGGCTGTAGGATGTGCAGGTCAACATAGTATTAAAGAACATCTAACTAGTGTTTAAAAAACTGCTAGGTAGGGCAGGTTAGTGTTTTTTTGCAGCGCTTAGGACTATTATTAGTATGGAGTATAGAAAATTGTTTTGTTTCTGAAGATTTGTTTATGTGCAATTTTTTTTATTTGTTGAATAAAACTACATTAAACAAAGGGTACATTCATTGGAGCTATTGTTGTAATTACACAATTACACAATTAAATTGTAATTACACAATTAAATTTATTTGAGGTTTTATGTACGACTCGGTTGAGCAAAGTTTACACTTGGTGTTGTTGACGTAACAAAAAAAAATCCAATAACTAAACAAATAGGAGACTGATATTAAGACGTAGGTGGTACGTATTGGTAGCAAAGATGCAAAATATACTGCTGCGACTATATTCTGAACGCGGGGTTGAGAGTGGGAAACGGAGGGGTCTCACATTACAGTGAGGTGTAAACTTAACTTAACCAAGTTGTAAATTAGGACTATGTATGTGGTCAGCATGTCTTACTTGATCTAAGGTTTGATTTTATGCTAAATTTATTACCATTCTAGAATTCTAAAATGTCATCATTATCACTGTACCTGTATTAAATGACTACATAATATGACTTTAATAAAAAAATTTTGGATGCAACATTTTCAAAATATTTTTTATTATTAACAATTTTTTCTTCCTGATATTTTAAAGTTATCTCTAGCTGTTTCTCATAATATTATGAATAAGGTTTTATCTGAGCTAGGTTCATTATGTTCATGTTATGAATATTTTTACTCCATTTATTGTATGTAATATAATGCACATACATAAAATTCAGTTCATAGAATAAATCAAATTAAATTATGTAAAAAATTATTATAGTGAAAAAAGTTCATAAAAAAGCAAATATAAAAAATAGCAATTAATAAGTGGGCTGGAGCAATATGAACAAATTTAGACCTGCAACAAAATATTTTTATATTTAAAATGTTTAGTAAAGTCTTTTCAAACATTTAGCTACATGCAATAAAAAAAAATTAAACAGGTAAAACAGTTTAGTATTACTGTTATTTACCTGATATGTATGTCCCACCTCCAAATGTTATTCGCGGCATTCCACCTCCACGGCCTCTCCTTGGATCTTCATCCAGATCATTGTCATCATCACGGCCAGGGGGACCCTTTGCTCGCTCAAATCTAAAAAACAAAATATTATTATTATGTTGATGGATATTTTTGAAACTGAATTTTTAATTCAAAAATATAACAAACCATTTTATGCCATAGGGGCTGACAAAATAAGTCAATGACTTGACAAGTCAACTACAGAAAATGTCAGGATCCCTATGGTTTACATGTTATAAAATCTAGTAACTAAAGAAAAATAGAATGCACTGTGGTGATTCAGTTTTATCAATAACACAAATACTATTCAGAGTATAAACAAAAAATAAAGTGTTGCCTAAACAATCAAAAAGTATCTCTATTCATATTTTATAAAGTATAAAATATCAATTTTTATGGTTTAATAAAATAAATTTAGAATTATTCAAAGTGTTTTAAAGAAACTAAATGTATAAGTGATGAGCCTGAGAATACCGGTTTCTTATAAGGATAACCAAAAAAAAACTATTAAAAAGATATGTCAGTAGCAATGTAGATTAATTTTTATTATTCTAAACGGAGTCACAAACCACACACATACAAAATTAATATGGTTGTTGAAATTGTAAATTAATAAATGCTTTAAAGAACAGTATTCTGTGTACTATGTTAGGAAATGTTTTTATCAGCTGGAAATGATGCTTCATAAGCATTTGCATCATGGCACAGATTTATAACTCCTGATAGGGTGATAGAAAATAAACAAAATTTGCTACCATTTTAAAAGGAAAAAGCAACATTTTTATTTTTACTGATTCTTATTTATAGAATAAATTTTTTTTGGTTTTGGAGTGATACCATTTTTCGTTTATGTTAAAATTTACACATCTAAAAATGTTTTAATCTATAAATAAGAATCAGTAAAAGTAAAATGCACGAAAAAGGCCATCACTCACATGTTACAACATGCAATATTAAAGTACTTATTTTAAGTGGGAACTTATATGTGGTAGAGCCACGCTGCAGGTATATTATGGTTTTAGAATGGGTCAGCTCGATTGGGGTAAGACCACACTCTCACAGAATACCAGCATAAAAAAGCAGCTTAATACTACTGTATCATGCATTTTCAGGCATTCCATTTTAGTCCTAGTCCTCAGGGGTGACAACGAATCTGCATTTTGATTCTTAATTGAGGATAAATGTATATGTCTATGGGCCACACCTTCTACTTACCATCAGATGGACTATGTGCTCATTTGTCAACATATTCTTTAAAACTCTTCAAGAGTTCTGTCGACCAATATTGGCCCATAGGCATAGCATATACTCCTGTTCGGACACCAAAATTAGCCGATCACCTAGTATTCATGATTCACTATTATTAATCTTTGGACAGCATAGATTAAATACAAGGACGTAATGTAATGTCAAGCTAACTTCACTGCATACAATTTTGATTGATTTAACCTGTTTATGTTTTTTTGCATAATTGGAGGTAGTAAAATCAACCTTAAAGTTTATAAAATGGAAAAAATGTATTGAGAAGTGTGATTTTTTTAATCTCTTTGCTGTATAGTTTTGTATTGTTATTTGCAAATAAAACAAACACCTTTTTATATAATGGTTTAATTACCATCAGCAAAATTACATCACACAAGTTTGAAATGAGTTTGATAATATTAGATAATTGATAGAATCAGGCATTACTTAGCGGAAATCCATTATAATAAATAATTTATTACTTTGCAACCTTCCGCTAACCAATTACAATGGTGTGTCTTACCTGGATTGAAGAGCACCTCCCGCCCTCCCTCAATTGCATGCACTAACTCCGTCACCACTACTTCCAACACTACTATTCCAGGTAAGACACACCATCGACGACAATACGACACGTGTTTCACCTCTACACGAGGCATCTTCAGGTAATGTAGACTCTACGGCGACTGACCGCTAAGTGAGCGGCGAGCCGAAACAGCGCTATTTGTACACGCCGACACGACCACTCCCCACCAAAGTAGCGAGTGACCGCGCCGCGCGATAACAAACCTGCGACTAATTGTTATGACTAATATTTTTTATATATTATTATTATTATTGTTTTTTATATTGATATTATTATAGTTATTGATTATTATTAATTTTCAATTATTATTAAAGATTAGCCTTAAGGTGTTCAACAAAGGTGAATTAGAAACATTTGTTTGTTCATTCAGCAGTGCATTGTTACCATTATTATGTTTTCAAATCCCAAAATTGCAACCAGTCTGACCCACGTAAACGGCGTGGCATTCGTCACAATGAAGTTTATAAACACCCGATTTTTGACTAATATTTAACTTATCTTTATTATTATAAATATTCCTAAGCGAATTGTTTGTTTTGAATGCCACGTTAATGCCTAAGAGTATTAGCTATTTTTTCCGATATGGAGCCTAAGTAGATCAAACTACCCACATATCGCCGGACACTTTGAGATCGAACCGCGTACAAAGAATTGCGAACAACATGGTTTTGTTTCTTTTTAATAATTTTCTTTACTTAATGGAACAGTGAACAGACGGTTGATGTAACAATAAAAGCGGCTAATTTATGTTGCCATGGATGACACGATGACGCGGGGATGACCGTGTCTGTATGAGTTGGCTTTCGATAAATTTGAAAAACATGCAATGACACTTTTCTTGTTATTGTTAATTCAAGGAAATTAAGGGAGCAATGTTGTTCCAATTCAAGCTTAAATTTAATTTTTTCGTGGACTCTATTTATTTTATTAAGGAAAACATCCAGTTGTCTCCTTGTGCCGGTCCAGCAAATAATTATGTCGTCTACATATCGATAATAGTATAAAATATTTTGGTTGACAACTATATGTTGTTTTTCGAAATTATCCATGAAAATGTCCGCCATAAGTGGACTTAGAGGGGACCCCATAGCTAACCCTTCTTTTTGTAGATAGAAACGGTTATTAAACTCTCGGACTCAGGTTAGGTTAGAAGGAGTCCATCTCCTTTGTGGTTATTTTTTTACAAACCACTCACGTGGTGCTTCCCTCCCCCAACTCTCCCCCGTAGCGCAGTCGAGGGAAACCCAGTCGACGGCACCCCGCTTATAACCACGAAGGAGATAGTGGGGTCTATTCACCCGCTTCGCTCGCTCACTCGACCCCGCCATCTCCTTCTAACCTAACCTGTCCGAGTCTGGATGCCCTAAGTCCCTTTTGTCATTGTTGTGTTGTTATGTAATTTTTTTTTCAATTTTTTTTAAATGTGCATTATTTAGATTAAGATATATCAATCATTGTCAAAGATTGCATAATTTTTTTATTTTGTTATAAGATTTTTTCGAGGATAATATAAGTTATTGATTTATTTTTGAATTACTTCTTTTCATTTTGGTCTTTTCCATACAAACGAAGATTTAAAAAAAGCTCATCAAATCAGATGATTTTTCGATTTTCTAGAGCGTTTATGATAAAGTTTAAAGTCAAAACATAAAGTGAGATAAAAAATTAATAAACAAACAGTTTTCAATGCTTTTTTTATATGTTTTTTTGTGTAGATTAACAATAAAAATATACAAACTTTGTTTAATGCTTTGAAAAATGTTATGAATGATTATATTCAAAGAAGTGCATTTATGATCACATTTAATATCATAAAACTGTATGAAATCTTGAGGTGAGATATTTTTTTTTTCATAAATCCTGGGTTGCACTCCAGGAGTGCCGGCAGAAGTGAAAACTTGAGTATTAACGTTGTGCATTTTTGATATTTTGGAATGGTTAGGGAATAATTTTGCACGAATTGCTTTAATTATCAGTATAAAAGTACTGTCATTTATGTGGTAAAATACAATATTTATTTATTGCGCTATCATACACAACTAAACGATACAGCAGGCATACATTTTCGCCACGTCGTAGAAAGAGAGGGGGATACTTCCTCTCCTACGCTGCGCCGGCTGTCTCTTTCTCTCCATCCGTCTTACGCATTTTCGATCAGGGTCACGTGTCCTGACGCGAGTTTAACATTTTTAACCCATTACGAAAAGTGTACAATGCAGCTCAACCTAACAAAAACAAGTTCGGATGATTTTTCGATTTTCTAGAGCCAAAAAAGGAGGTGACCGCGATAGTATAAAATTACCAAGTTTTATATATAGCTGGCATACAAACTCAAAAAGATATCATTATTTGCTTTAGCACCTGCCAGTATCAGATGACCTACTGTAGAGGCCCAAATGTTTGGCACGTAAAAAAGAATAATGGGCTGATGCTTGACAGGATATTATATGAGTGATAAAATTGTGCAGTATATAGAGTCAATTCCATACTTTAATAAAAATCTTATAATCTCCCTTCTTAATGATTTCTTATATTTGTGCGAACACTACACATTAATTAGAGCTACTTTTACGGAGGTTATCACGCTTAATATATATGATTTCTAATTCACAATGTTTCAGATGCTTCCCAGCACCCAAGTGAGTCCCATGTGACCATGAGTCTGGAAAGCACCCAAAACGTCGGGAATAATCACAATAAATCACATATATTAAATGTGATAAAATCCATAAAAGTAGTTTTGGGTTGAATTTAGAATCTTTTGGCAGGAATTTGGGCGAGTAAGGTTGGCAGTATGAGTGGCAGTTGGCAGTTGGTAAGGCTGATTTAATTTTAGTACAGATTCTATCAGATCGGATATCTACAGTCAAGTTGATTTTGCTCCCGCCACAGACACAAAATTCTGTATGCTATCCAACTTTCACAGTAATATCGTATAATTTTTCTCAGAAGGGCTAGAACCCAGAGCCGTAAAGTCGGTTAATAATAAAAAATGTATCACTTTCCATACTTTACATATTTAAGGTTATAATAGTTTTTATTTATTTTTTCGAAAACGGTGCATTACCTTTTGATGTGAGTGGTATTATTATAATCGGGGACCAAACCTCTACCAAATAAAACACCTTATTCCCCCAAATTCCTGCCAAACGATTCTAAATTTCAACCATAATTTTAATTAATCTCCTTTTTTTCATAATTTCAAGTAATTTTCTATTGATAAAATCTCTATTACTTACTTCTCTAAATACATTCCATAAATCCTTCTTAACAGTGTTGAGCCATTAACACAAGGATGTGGAAGTCTGAGTGGTCTTAAAAATGACTCCCAGGTATCATTTTGATTTACCTGAAAGAGAATAAACATATTTATTCTTATTAATAATGCAAGCATAAATATGCTTACGAGTAAGCATATTTATACTTATAATTTAATCAACGAAGTTATATTTAATTAACATGTTTAGGGATTATTATTATAAACACTCTTTATTTAAATACCATGAAACTAACCTTTCCAAGCCCTCCGCGCTGTTGAACTAAAGAGTAAAATAGAAATAAATCTATTTCAATGCCATTTACAACTGGAATTTTAAATGGGATGCTGAAACAATACATTATACCACTTTTAAAATAAACAGAACGATGTTATTTTTTTATCTTTTCCTAAAAAAACATTCGTAATATATAATAATAAACTATTTAACAAATTAAAAACTAAATTATTACTTTTTACTCTCATTAAACTGCTTTAACTCTTTCAGAAATACTTCTTTATCCCTCATATAGTCTTTTGATTTAGTATTTATTTGAGATTTTGCCATTTTTATAGATTTAATAGCGGCATGCACTGCAGGGTTATATTACTATTAATTATCACTTGCATTCAAGTATAAAAACCGCACTTTATTAAGGATGTAACTAACAATTACATATTCATTTATTATTGCAGAATGTAAATAAATAGTTGAATTGTAGTAGGTAAGCAATTTACTAAATCTCTAAAAATAATTTTAAACGTTTTTGACACTGACAGTTACAAAACAAGCTAAACTAAGCGACGCGACCATAAATAAAATCACAGACGATAGAAGATATGTAAAAAAATTATCACAAGTCTTTGATTAGACGCACGTTAGTACTCTTATTAATTTGTGATTATGACTATTGTGGCTATTGTGTATTTATGATTATGATGATTATTCATAGACGTGTTCACCCCACAATAGAGATGCGCGTTACTGTTGTAATGGTAGTTTATATAGCGCATAACGCCATATTATAGCCCGCTATCTTTCTATAGCATATAGCGCCTGCTATGTAAGTAACCGTCATGGCGCTACGGCGCTTATGCGCTTTGACGCTATAAAAATCTAGCGGTAGTTCTAGCAGCAGCGCTTTTGGGTTGGACGTGTGAAGAAAGCTTGATCTGGCACCACGCTATTCATTCGCGCAACCTAATTTAGTGTTAGACGTTGTTTAGTTAGTGTATAATGTATATTTATAAGTAATCGAAGAACACGGTTGTCTGCTACAAAAGTAGCCTAAATAATTTTTTGAAATGTAATTTAAATATAAGTAGATACAAAATTTGTTATAAATTCTTATAGGCTATTAGTCTGAGAAAAATACTGGGAATTATTGACTGTGGTACATTTAAATATTAATTTTTTATTCTGAGTTATTTTACGATTTAAATAGACATGAAGAAGAATATATTATTCAGTAACTGTTTTCCTTTCAACATGTAATTGTACTGAATATTGATTAAAATAATTAACAAGCAAAAAGCTTTTAATTGCAACAACCTCAAAAGTGTGTATAATAATGAATGTAAGTGGTTGATTTTTCTATATACAATCAATAAACTTTTTTATATTCATAATTAACATTAATGTTAAAATAATGTTTACATCGATTGTAGACAGTCGTAAGCCTGAAAGGTATGAGTGTTCATTGTTCTTTCATTACTGCTTTATTTTATTCAGTCTAGAATGCGAATTATTACGAAATAATGTTTTTTATAAAGCACGCAGTCTATACAACAAACTTTGCGTAATGTAATATAATATAATAATAATATAAACACTCACGCCTGTCACCCAGAGGGGTAGGCAGAGACTACAGACTTCCATTTAGCACGATCCTGACATACCTTTCTCGCCTCTTCCACATCCATATACCTACGCATACATGCTCGTCGGTTAAGGGTACTCTTAATTTGGCCCATTTTTAGTATATCGCCAATTTGGTCGACAAACTTCCGCCTAGGACGTCCCTTTCCGACTCTTCCATTCACTTCTGCAACATATATTTGCTTTGTCAGTCTTTCCGCATTCATTCTTTCTACATGACCAAACCACCGAAGCATTCCTTTCTTAATCCTGGTCACCGCATCATCTTGCAAACCACACTCTTCTTTTATCACACAGTTTCTCACCCTGTCACTCAGATTCAGCCCTAACATACTCCTTAGCGACCGCATTTCTACTGCATTTATTCTACTCTCGTGCTTCTTCTGCCACACCCAACTTTCACTACCATACGTTAAAGTAGGGACTAATACAGCACTGTGAATTGCCATACGTGCCTTTTTTGACACATTCTGACTTTTCACAATAGAGTGTAGAGCCTATTCACAATAGAGTGTACTTTATTTCCTGCATTCACTCGTCGTTCAATATACTTATCATATCTCCCATCCCTGCTGAATACACATCCCAAATATACGAACTCATCCACTTGCTCAATTAACTCTCCTTCTATTCTTATTTCACATACCGTCTTGCTTTCATCTCTTTCAAAAACATCACTTTCGTCTTACTTGCGTTCACTTTCATTCCCCTTTCTTTTAATGACCTGTTCATTAATGTAACCATCATTTGCAACTCGGCCGCCGACGACGCAAGTATGACTTGATCATCGGCGTACATAAGGCATTTGATGGTTAACTCACCCATTCTTAACCCGCATTCTTCAACTTTCAAATTTTCCAAACAGCTGTCCATAAATAGGTTGAACAGCCACGGGGAAGCTACACAGCCCTGTCTGACACCTTTATGGATGCCAAACCAGTCCGAGTAGACCCCGTTGATTCTAACACAAGCACTCGAGTCCCTATACAGAGACTTTAATGCCTGTACCAAACCAGCGCTCAACCTAAATGCGTTCAGCGTTTGCCATAACACATCCCTGTCCACTCTGTCATAAGCCTTTTCCAAGTCCATGAACGCACAAAAAACTTTTTGGTTTTTCGCCAAAAACTTCTCCGCGATCATGCGCATGGAAAAGACTTGATCTGTGCACCCCATTCCCTTTCTAAATCCCGCTTGCACATCCCAAATTTTTCATCAGTTTCTTTCATAACTCTTTCAATTAGTATCTTAGCATACAGTTTTCCCACAATGCTAAGAAGGCTGATACCACGGTAGTTTTTACAGTCCTGCTGTGACCCTTTTCCCTTATATATTGGGACTATCACGGCTTTGCACCAGTCTCCCGGTACCCGCTTTAGTTCCCAATATAAATTAAACAAGGTGTACAGCAGGCCTGCCACCACGTCCTCTCCAGCCCTTAGCATTTCGAGTGTAATGTAATGTGCTATGAAATTTAGCTTGCACACGCATTGTTATAAATAGCGGTCTGTAATATAGCGTATTTAATAGCACTGTAGCGTACTATTGATTTATGAACGTTTTGAACAACTTTATACTTTTCACGTAATGATGCAATCAGTTACATTGTTTATAAGAAACCTGTTGCGACAGTAGGTTTTTTATGGTTTTAGAGATCGCAACAGGTTTCTTATAACCAAATAATCTTAATTCGTTGCTTAATAAATATTAGTTATTGATTTGTAAAGTAGTTACTAAGTAGCTAGCTATTTCGTTATGAAATGAAGCAACAAAAAATTATAATTTATTAATGGGTAATAAAAGGTTAATAAATAATTATTTACGTTAAGATGTACCAACATTTAGATTTTTATTGAAATTGGTGTTTCACTTCCGTTAAAAAATGAAGTCCTTTTGTTACTAATCGACGCCGAAGAGATAACAAAAATAGTATCAAAATTAACAATGTATCGGTAATGTAAATGGCAATGTGTAGCAGCGATTGGCGCAACCTACTGTGCAGTAACATTTAGTTCTTGGACGTAACAGAAAAAATCTAATGCACAATCTGTCCTTTACATCTTTATTTTCGACGCAACTTTTTGCTGTAATAGGTTTTGGAGAAAACGACCCTTCTCTAACAAAGGTAAATGCAGATGCATAAATAGTGTGGTGTGGTGATGTGTTTTGTTGGTATCCCGTCTACTACTGCAAGGGTCCGGTTTCTATACATATTCAATGTCTTCACATTTTCCTGGTTTACAGCTTCTCGCAGTAATTCCATTTACTCCAATTTATTTATATTCGACTTAAATTTTTTAGTTGTAGAATAGCATTACCCTGTAAAGGTATTTATTTCTACTTAATGTAAATAGCAATATAGACTTATAATTCAATTCTAGGTAGATATAACATGATTTAAAACTAGCTTTACTTGAGCAGGCCTTGCTAGGAGTCAAAACAAATCTCAAAATCTATACAAAATACGTAATCGGATTTTCAAAATTTCAAAGTAAGCCATGAAGAAATTTCTGAAATATAAGATTTTGAAATAAAAAGTACATTGATATTTTTCATTTAAAAATATTAAACTTTATGATAGCATATCATCAACAACATATCATGAGCACTTCACTCACTGCAGCTAATATTTGTGAACTAAGAATTTTTTCGAGTGCGGTGCAAGATCATACTGTCCATACCACTACCGGATTACGATAATCCGTTCTCGCCTAATGGAGCGTACTGCAAGGGTCCAATCACCGTCAAATGCGTGACAGCTATATAGAAGACATCTCCAACTCTTTACCACGTTAGACGTAGCTCCATCTGCGGCAGTTGCCATAAATTGATCGTCGAACGTTGCATTACCACAATGTTCACAGCATTCCATCCATACAAATTTGTCTGAGCTTTTTTACCCAAAACAACTCAACAAAGGCACATTTAAAGAACAAAATCATAAGTCATATTGCTATGTTTGCTGTGACAAATTGCTTGAATATGGGGCGTGCTACAATAAATTTTGGTACTTAGATAGGATTCAGGAAAAGAAAAAGAAATTCTAATAAGATTTAACACGGTTAGAATCTTAATTAGCCAGTTAAAAAAGATTCTGCCTTCCTAACTCGCTTCCTAAGTAGAAAAAAGATAAGCGGAGTGAAATCACATTTACGACTCTCAGTCGGATCGCAACAAGCAAAGGAAGCAGATTTACGAATTTTAGTGTGTATACTATAAATAAAATTCTTTAAAAGAAAGAAAGATTATAATAAATGTATTGTATAATAACGGCATAAAAAACTACTACTGCATATCACCGCGCGGGTATCATAAGAGATTACAGAAGGAAATGAAACAAAAGATGGCCAGAATCAAATTTAAAAAGATAAAAAAAAATAACTACTATTGCCAACTCATAGTTACGAGACTTGGCAAATATGGCAAATATCCTATTATGAGGCAATCTGTTGGGAGACCTATGAAAGGTAGCTGACTTTTGATATACTTGTGGTGGTGCAATCGTTGCACCACAAGCGAGACGAACCAAAGCCTAGAAACTATTTCATGCTTTGTAATCATCTGTATATATGGTACAGACTAGTATTCGTTAAGACTACCGTTCAAATTTTGCAACAAATTTTGCTTCTGACAAGAAGACATTATACGCATTCGGGCACAGCCTTTTTTTTTGAGGGGGCAAACGAGCA